CTCTCACAGTTTATCACCTTACAAACACAAATTACAGTGTAACTAAGTAGGAGCTTATGGCCTAGTCAAAGTCTAGACCTAAATCAAATGGATATTCTGTGTAAAACTTGAAAACTGATGTCTAAAGGCTTTCTTCATTCAAATCAGACACGGATTCAAGTATTTCTTCAAGAAGGATAGACCAAAATGGCAGTAAAGTATCATCCGTAATGGAAATGATTTAAAGTTTTCCTTTCTCCTTACAGCTATTGCACACCGTTCTTTGTATTTCACATAGAGGGTTTAACAATCGACGTTTATATCATCTTGGCTGCAGCCGTAACATCAGCAGGGCATCACTGTTTTTAACATTTGTAATAAAATGATCTAGTTTTGTAGTTGGACTGACCTAGATCAATTCAAACATCATGGAGCTTGTCTGTTTTTAAGGTCAGCAAAGGATATTTATCTGTGCGACACAACAAAAACCTTATCTGGCCCAGTTAAATCAGTTCTTTTCTGCACTGATCAGCTTACTGTTCCTGGCTGTCATTCAGGGGCAGACGCTGTCAGTAGAAGAACATTTATGCATCTACCCTGTTGTTTTACCTCATTCCTCAGACATGGTTTTGGATCAGCACGAGGGGTCTGGCTCTCTGGGTCAAGAGGCCCGGAAGAGGATCCGCGAGGCCCTGCTGAAGCAGCACCACCATCAGAACCAGAAGAAACTGGCCAACCGTATTCCCATCGTCCGCTCCTTCGCCGACATCGGCAAGAAGCAGTCTGAGCCTCATTCCATGGACAAGAATGGTGAACACACACACAGACACAAATGCAGACCTTGCAGTAGTCAAATAACTCATATTGTTTACTGTTGTCATACTTCAGTCTGTTTCATGCTGATGTAACAGCAAGTCTGCCTTTCTTGTTTATCCTTGTCACCACAAAACTGTAAAATCTTCACAGTGGGGCTGAAAGTCTGATCTTTAGGAGTGCCTCACCCAATTAAATCTTCCTATAGAGCAATTCAGTCTTGTACATTTTGAGTGTTTGGTCCACGCATATTTTAAGATCCCACACAAGATGTCTTCATCGCTGCAGACCAGATAAAACACAACAAAAAGCTTAGTGATCCTCAGCAGCTGCAGATCAGTAATTAGAGCTTTCTCCATAAGTAAAGACAGTAGCTGCAGTGTTCAGGCGAAGAGCATTTATACACTTTGTCAATGTTCTTAGAAATAACAAACAAAACCACAATATCTACAGGTGTCATGTAAAAGTTCCAGACTTTTCCAGCCTCCAATTGCAAGAGTTCTCTATCATACATTTATTAAAAAAAAAGAAAGAAGCAGACTAGAGGCTACTATTGGCAGCAGGGGTGCAAAGAGACGCAACATAAGGTAGAAAGGAAGGTAGGACTTAGAGGGGGGTGGAGGACAGTGGACAAGACACTAGGAAAAAAATGTCAAAATGCACTGAAAAAAAAAGATCTAGAAATAAGTAAACATTTCTTAAATTAAGTGTATTTACCCTTAATTTGAGTAGGTAGATGACAATGAAATTGTGTTTTCCTATTTTAAGTGCAAATTGTCTTGTTCTATTGGCAAAATGTCCCTTTTACCTCCTCAATACAAGAATAAATGCACTTATTTTAAGAAAAAATTATTTCTCTAGATTTCGAAGGAAGGAAAGAAGGAAGGAAGGAAGGAAGGAAGACTAGGAAAAAGTGTTTTATGGCAATCTTTAGATCAGTCTTATTACAGTACAAATATCGTGAATGAAAATATCGTGATATATATATATATATATATTGATATATATATATATATTCTCTTTAATTGACCTTTATGCTTTCTAGTCATGTATTTGAGCTTTATTACTTTTAGGATTATATGGTGATTTTGTAATAAATCATGTGGTCTTTATATCTTAGTCATTAATGGACAGGCAGTGTCTGTATTCTTCCATAGCTACAGTCTTGTTTATACCACTATCAACCAGAGGTATAAGTCAGGAAACATGGCTGACTGCACTACCTCATGATGGCTTATTGATAAAACATAGAGATGTTGTTTTTGCTAATGGATACAGATTTTCACCAATGAGCACCAAAGAAAAATGCTTTCCTTATTTTCCTCTGGATCAAACTGTGCCATGCAGTTACTCACAGGAGAGCATCGTCTGGTTTAAATAAGCATTTCTTGTGGAAACTGATCTTATTTTCATGCTGTCTCTAAGGCCAAACAGTCTCACCTCAGTCCCAGCCATCCAACAACGAGGGTAAACAGGACGTCAGCCGAGAAAACAGCGCCGTGGACTTCAGTAAGGTGAGCAGCCAGAACAACTACTGTTCTTCTTGTTTATCTTTGGCCACTGAGAGCTGAACACATAACAAGTGCTGTATATTTATTCAGTCTGGGATTACGTGTGAAATAATCACCACCAGTTTCTCACAAAGGTAACCTGACTGGTATCAAGCAGGATTGGAAGAAGATTTCTTTAGTTATGCGTGTCAGATCTGCCTGTAAAACCTGTTTATATCCATTTAATTAAACTTGTATCATCTAAACACTGATCTTATGTGTTTCTCCGCTACACAGATTGACCTCCATTTCATGAAGAAGATCCCTCCTGGTGCCGAGGCATCCAACGTCTTGGTAGGAGAGCTGGAATTCCTAGACCGCCCTGTGGTGGCCTTCGTCCGTTTATCTCCCGCTGTGCTTCTCAATGGCCTGACTGAAGTTCCCATCACCACCAGGTGACCCAGCAGCTGATAGAAAAGCATTCAGATTGTGTTTCTCATTTGGACTTTGTCCTACCTCAGATCTAAATGTCTCTTTTGTTGTACAGGTTCTTGTTTATCCTCCTTGGGCCTCTAGGGAAAGGTCCACAGTATCATGAAATTGGACGATCTATTGCTACGCTGATGACCGATGAGGTGAGGCCACTCTGAAAACAAAGCAAAATGGTTATAGACGTACAACCAAACAGATTTATGTCAGGTTCCACCTATAATTGTGAAAGATCAGCACAATTGCTCTTAGTGTTTCCTGAGGACCATAACAGGAGATTTTCCTGCTGTAAAAATGAGAATAGCTCAGGAATTTAAACCTATTTGATACAGAATAAGATGGACTTCCTGCAGGGCAACAGTTTACTTTCTCCAAAATAAATTATTAATATTTCCAGTCTGACTACTGTTTTGTTAAACATGCAGATTACAATATTATATGAAAAGCAATGTTTTATGAATGAGATCTGAAAAATACTTATGTATTATTTTTAGGAAAAGGGAGCATTTATTTCATTGATGAAGATCTCAGCATATTTAATGCAGATTTAACTGATTTGAGTGTTTTTATTGTCAAGATTATTATCTTGTCTTCCTTTATACACTGCATGAAAATTGGGATTATCCACCTTTAAATTGCTTTGAATCCTTTTAACTGTTAAAAGCCACAACAGCAATGATATTTAGATTAATCTGGAGTTGCGTCTTATTTGTATTCTGTTTGGAGTCATAACAGCTTGAAACGTTATGGCAAGGCTTTCCACAAAGTTTAAGAGTTATTTATCTACGAAATCTAGGAAACTTTCATGTGTTTTTTGTAGAAGCTCACTTGTGGGATCAAGATTAGATCTCATTGGCTTTTGCTCGTATTCATGCCAAGTCCTTCTGGAACCTTGATGTTCAGTCACCTTGGAACAGTAAGGGGTCAGCACCTAAATGTTCCCACAGGTGTTTGCTGAATTTTAACAGATATTTAAAGTAAGGCAAAGGGCCAAATCCCACACAATAATCCTCTCTCTACCAAGCTTTACTTTAGAGACAAAGAAAGTGACCGTTTGTGACATTGCATTAAGCTTTCTGTTTATCATTTACCATGCAAATAAAGTTTGGAGGCTTAAGCTACTGACTGCTACTGACTCTGCTTTGTAATTTAACCAGCCCTGCCAATTAGTGGCAGAGTATCTGTTCTTACTAATTGCTTCAATTAACAGCAGATGTTAAAATATTATGTCAAAGGGAAAATTCTCACTTTAACCAATTGCACATATATATCATTCCTACATCCCCAGAAGGCATCCTATTATGGTTTCATGCGGGAATTTGCTGAGCTCGAGTTCTTTTAGTTACATAGTGTATATGTAACACTGGACTTTTTTCACTTCCTCCTAAATTTTTTCCAAAGGCTAAAGCTTATAAGCAGGCAAATGTCAGAAAAAATCCTGTTTGGACTGCTGGAAGTGTTTTTATTTATTATCAGATAATTTTTTGTTATTTTGCCAATGAACGACCTATATCTGATCCTGTCATAGCAGTCAGAACAGCACAGATCCGATTTTTTTCAAATGCGACCCAGAGCACTTGGCTATGTGGTCCTAAATCCGAGACGTTTCTGATATTTTCAATTGCAGCCTGTGTCTGATTGGCCATCCCACCTGTACGACACCAATACTCGACAAAGCTCACTATTCTGCGTCTTGCTATGCAGAAGGAGGAAAAAAAAAAGAACAAACATGGAGGACGATGATGCGGAGGGTTGTCTTTCTTTTTTTTATTTTCCCCCACCCTGTGGAAAAGAATGCATCGTTAATACGCTAGCTCCGGTTGGAAAATAAATTAAAGATAGCAGGATATGCTCCAGCGCTACAATCCATGTTTACTTCCGTAAATAAAGAGCTTGCTCGCTACTTGTGATGTCACTGCATCCTCTACTGCTCATGAGGGACACTTAAGTTGTATGAATGCAGGTCACAGAGGAGATCACATAGAAGTTGCTTGTATTTAAAAATAGGACCAACCAAGGAAAACAATCGTATTAAAAAAAAAAAAAAATCTGAATCGAGCATTAAGGCCTGCAGTAGGAATGTTGCAATGATTATTGTCCAGCAAAGCATTAGTTTTAAGGCTAATCTCACTGATTTTACCGGGTTAATGTGTTTTTTAAAATTATTTCTGTATATATTTTAATCAGAAAGTGTTTTGCATAGTTTTAAGAGCATTTTTATGAATTTCTCAACAACATAAATTAGCTGCTTTCAATAAAAACGGGTTTTTCTCCCCATCAAGATGATTTCTACAGACCTAGTTAGGCTAACACTACAGATCCTAGCCCTCTGTTTTGATATGACTTGTTGATCGATAAAGTGGAAACATATTAACGCAGTTCTAATTACCTGTGTGTGAACAATACTCCATGGAAAATTACTTGACCTTTTGTGTTAAAATGTGCAGAGCACATTGCTAATGTAGTTTTCCATAACCTGACTCCGCCAGATGGATTTGCTCCGCATATCCATCTGGAAACCTTCCGTTGAAGTAATTTTGGGAAGGGGCAAAAATACTGGTTAGCTGATTGGCCTATGTTGGTGATAGACGGGCCAAATAAACCAATCAGATCAATGAAGCATATGACGTACTAACAGAGCGACAACGAAAACACAACCACAAGCCAGGTTATTCTTGCCGAAACCAGTCGGGAGAAGAGCAAAAACATCTTTTCCTCTGAGAAAAGCCTCCAGAGCAGTGTTTTGCTCTTCTTTCAGTGAAGAAATACTCTGTAATTCCGATAAAACTTGCTCGATAGCCACGCTAACGCTAGTTTCATCGGCTGAAGCCGCCATGTTCTTTAGATTGAACTGTCGCGCTTCTCGTTGCGTCACACCTCAACTCGCCTCAAAGCCAATGCTGTTGGACGTTCGTTTGGTGAACTGCTCCAAATTTTCTTTAACGGAGAGTCTCCAGACTGATCTGCGAGTGAAACCTTGAAAGCTCGCGAGATCAGGATGATCTCACGAGGCTAAGTTTTCCATACTCTCATATATGTTTGATGTCACTCTACAGATTTTCCATGATGTTGCCTATAAGGCCAAAGACAGGAATGATCTGGTGGCCGGCATCGACGAGTTTCTGGATCAGGTGACTGTTTTACCTCCTGGCGAGTGGGACCCCTCCATCAGAATAGAGCCTCCTAAGAATGTTCCTTCTCAGGTAAAGTATCATTAGGTTTTGTTGGCATCTCCTCCGAAGCATTTTTTCTCCTGTACTCTAAAAAATCATGATCAGAACCTGTTTGAAAATGTTCTCTTCTAGAATTAATAGAAAAAGAACCAAAACATCTGTAAATGCTTTCATTTCAGCGGTGGCAGAAGTGGAAAGTGGGGATATTATATTATTTGAACTTGTTAGTGCGGCTGCACCTGGGCCTGTTGGCAGCTCTTTTTAACCCCTTAAAACCTTAAGTGGGGGTAATAACTCGGAATGCATAAAATTCCACCGGTAACATTTTTACCAGCAGATGGAGCCATTGTGCGCAGCTCCAAGCTGGCACCAAAAGTTCCAAAGCCCACAGCTCTGGAACTGTTATAGCTAGAGGTCTGAAATTTTCTGCATTTGTGGTTGACATAATGTAGAACAAATATAATACAATAAAACCTGCTCTTTCTCAAGAATGTCTTTATTACTGCTGTTCAAAAAAAAACTATCATTTCCGAGAATAAAAAAAACTACTTTGAGTCTTGTGTGAACTGATGCAGGTTGGTCTGTGTTCAAGTCACCCAATTTGAATTTATATATTTAGAAACAAGAGGCTGTTAGCTTTCTAATAATGCATTGCACATGTAATTTGGGCTTACAGTTCCCAAGTTATTTGCTTTTCCATTTGGGTATGTAAAATAGGCGAGGATTACCCAAAATGAGGTGGATGTTAAGTGGTTAATGCTTACAGAGTTCATTTGAGCAAATTCCTCCAATAACATAAAAAAAAAAGTATTTCCTTCAGCTTTTATCCATTTATATTTTTGAAATGATCCATATTATTAAAATGTATCTTTTAGGAAAAACCCTCCGGCTGTTGTAGGACTCCCATCTTGTTTTCACATGAGTGCAGGTCCATTTGTGTTCATCATAGAACAGATCAAAGTGCACTTTGAAGCTGGCATACAACCAGCATTTGATTGACAGTGATGTTCACTGTGCAGGAAAAGAGAAAGATCCCCCCTGTTCCCAACGGAGTGACGGATCTTGGAGAGTCAGAGGCACATGGAGGACATGGTGGCCCTGAGCTCCAGCGCACAGGGAGGTGAGTGTGGGAAACATTTACAGCACGCACTCTGTCACTTCTGGAAGGTCTTGTTTGTGTCCATCTTCCTGTCGCCTGGTGGCTGCATCACTGCTTACAAACTGCTAATTTATGATGCAGACCACACAGCAGGCCCAAAGTCATTCTTCATGGCTTAAATTAAACAAAAAGCTCATGGTTAATGAATAATACTTTGTAGCATGTCAATATCCTCATATATAATTCTCTTTAATCCTAATGTTGGATTTATAGTTTATTCAATGATGGACAGGGGACTTCTTTTTATACTTTTCCTTGGATTTTCAACTTTATTTCCTTACTGCTCTCTAAAAGTAATGATTGTATTCATCCAACCATTAAGGTAAATATGGTCCCATTTAGGCGTTTTCACACTTTTGAATTAATGTTACTGTTGTTTTCACTTTTCTGTAAGACCTTTTAACTCTTCATCATGGAATACCGAAGTGGTAAATCATATAAAAGACTGATTTGATGGAAAAGATTTCATCCCCTTAAATGTTTTTAAAGATTCAGATGACAGGGATAAAAAATGCTTTGAATGCCTATAAAAACTGTTCTGTTTTTTCAATCTAAATTTAAAATCGAGTGAGAAATTATTAACTTTCTATAGTATACAGTTCAACCTACAAAGTTTACTTTCAAAAACTAACCTCAAAGTACATTTAAGTCACTTCTTCTAAATAAAAGCCTTCACCACTGCTTGAAATGTTAGCTTTTGGATTCACTTTGACACAAAAAAAGTTTTTAAGAATTAACCACAATGCTAAATTTCAGCTCATATAAAACCCTTCATAAGTCCCACAAAAACGAAATAACTTTTTTACCTCATGGGAGCGCTATATGACCATCTACATGCACAGTCTGTCGCTGGCTTTCGGCTAAAAAGACGTAAGGACTTAGAGTACATAAAGTCCCATTCTGAAAACATGAAACTGAACTTTATTGATCGCACAATGGAGAAATTAACTCTCTGCATTTAACCCATCCCCTTGGGGAGCAGTGGGGTGCCACAGTGCAGCGCCCGGGGAGCAGTGTGGGATTAAGGGTCTTGCTCAGAGAGCCGGAGTGCAGACTGTGGGGATTGAATCGGCTACTTGCAACCTTCTTAGAGCACAAGCGCACTGCTCTACCCACTAGGCCAACACTCCCATCACTCCACACTGCTCATCACTCTGCCTGCTTGGTGACATAAGAAACAAATAGATGCCACATTCTTTTTGATGTTCTAATCATGACAAAATGATCAGTACTTCAGAACTCAAACAATGAAAAAAAGAGTTTAAATACATTTTGATTAAAAGCTCCCATCAACCCCCACTGGGTCACTGCAGTAGTCGAGTTATGGATGGTGTAATTTTTTTTTTTTTGGAAGCATACATAGCCTAATTAATATAGTCTATGAACCTAGAGCAATATGCATGGTATGGTTTGTACATGTCAGGTATGCCAGTCATTGACTTTGACCAAGGCACCTTTCAGTAGAACTGCAGTCAGTCCCTGGACTGCCATGGCTATCACTGCCCCTACATAGTTAGGGACAAATGCAGGTATGACAAATACTTATAAGCCTGCAGCTTACCTGAAGCGTTAGTTTTTGCCTTCTTAAAAATGAAGTCCCTCAAATCGCGTTGTCTGTGCCGCTTGGCCATGATGCTGTTCAGAGCACCATCACCTGCTCTGATGGATACGCTGAGGTTGAAAATAAATCGCATGTGCCCTCTGGGCCACCGTAATTTGGTCAGGCTACTCCTAAGCGCACAGCCCGCCAAATGTTGAAAGGGCAATATTATTACCATTACTGTTAATAATACTGTTAAAGTTTATACATTCAGTGATAAAATGTTACAGGGGATGGTATGAGGGGATGGTCATTTAAGAAGGAGGATGATTTTTAAGATTTTTTTTTTTAAGAAGGGGATGCCATTCCCCCTCATCCCCCCTCAACTCGAGTACTGGGTATCTGCTCCAGAGCTTTACTGACAACCAACCTCTCTGTAGGTGGTTTGGCTGCTTGTCCTGCAGACCATCATCCTTATGCTGCTGCAGCCACAGCCATGTCCACCTGTAATGACCATAAACAAAGCAAGGTTGCTTTTCTCGTCCAAATACGTCAGAAAACGTCTAATCTACTGAGACCATATCACTCATAATTAGCACTGTGGTTTAAAAAGAATGGTCTAAAACACTCTGTCCAGTGAGAAGACATTTTGTGGACAACATTGCCTTGTTGCACTCAAATATCTGAGAAGAAATGGACACTGTGGTTGAATCACTAAACAGATGGGATGTAGGAGCTAGAGACTGACACGGGAGTGGATTTTCACTCCTGTCCCGTGCCACTCCCACAGAAAAAAATTGTGTCCCGTCCCGATCCCGGGCCAGAGTAGAAATCTAAATCCTGTCCCGTCCCACTCCTGGTGAAATTACTCCCGCTCCCATTCAGAATGACTCCCGCTCCTGCACCACTCCCATTCTTGTTGTTTTTGAGCGCAGGTGAAAAACTCAGAGCGGAAACACTGTTGGTTTTTGGGTCGTGTAGTTTTTTTGACTCGCATTACAGTGTAGGCTTTGAGGAAAAAAACTACAAAATGGCGGCGCCAGTACTGGATTTTTTTTCTTTCTATTTTATTTTATTTTTTGGCATCGATCCTAGTTTTTTTTTAGTTACTATTGGTTTGCTCCCGTTCCCGTCTGCTCCCGTTAATGTTTAATCCTGTACCGTCCCAATCACGTGATCGTTACTAATACTGACTCTCATCCCACGGGAAAAAAATGTCAGTCTCTAGTAGGAGTAGAGGACCAGACTAGTTACCCCTGCTGTGTGGTAAGAACAGGATAAATCTATGCTTAAAGAATTACAGCTGCAGGATCAGAGTCTGACATGTACGAAAACATTAATCCATCCTGCCTACCCTACTCTTTCCAGAGGGATAATGCTCTATATATGAGCACAAAAAAGCTCTTCTCTTGTATGTCTACTTGAACCCCAGTTGGCCTCAGCAGATGGCCGCTCACACTGAGCCTGGTTCTGCTGGAGGTTTCTTCCTGTTAAAAGGGAGTTTTTCCTCTCCACTGTCGCCACAAGCATGCTTGGTATGATTGATTGCGTTTGAGTCAATGAGTCGATGCAATCAACTGGTTTTCCTTAGATAGAAAACTTTGATTCAATTTGACTGTATGATCTGGTTCAATCGTCTCTTAGGTGCCTTGAGATGACGTGTTGTGAGTTGGCGCTATATAAATAAACTGAATTGAATTGTATACGACTGCAGACTGCAGACTCTTTTTAAATTGGAGAACTTTTTCCTTTTTTTGGTACCTGCATGGGTGTGGAAGCTGACATAGAGGGGAGTGAGTTAATTCTCTGTGAGGGAAAACTTTAGCTAAAGCATGAACACGGTTTTATCCAACAGGACAGCACCAGCATACATCATGGAGGTGTATAACTGAACTGTAGAAGGCACTACAAAGAAATCTTATCATAACTTTTTGATGTAAACTTGACATAAGAGTTTTGTATGATATTAAAATAAAATTATATGCTGTCATCAGCTATAGAGGTTTATAGCTCCTCTCTGAAACAACAGACTGGGTATTCAGTGTATTAAGTTTCCTTAAGCTGAGCTGATGTGTGCTGCAGTGCAGAATCTCCCCTCATCCATTCATCTCCTGCTCCTTACATTAAACCCACTGTCTCTCTCTGCCTCTCGGGACTGAAATAAACATAAGAGCCCACCCAACGTTGTTACGGCAACATCCTCTGATGGCACCTCACTATCGCAGTTTGATGCACCAGGAGAGACTGCAACCAGAGCGGCATGGGGTCACTTTGTCGTGGCTCAGTATAGCGCTAGCCTTGTTTACCTTTGTTTATTTTGGTGGAATAACAGAAGATGGACTAGATAGTGCTTGGCAATGACCACCTGCACTGCGCTAACATGTTTACACGCCTCTATTGCTCTCCTGATAGAAAAAGAATGAGTAGAGCTTGTTAATAGAGTGTTGTTTCAGTGTTGTGTGGCTCTTTAGCAATTCTGAATTATGACATAATGTTATTGTTTATTAAACTGTAAAGAATTAGAAGTAAAAAGAGCATTGATATTGCTCTGATTTTAGACACTCAGTCACAGAAATCCCTCTCAGGGTAGTTATGACTGTAGCTAAATTAACGGCAGAGCTACTATACTTTTATTTCTTTGAATAGAATTTGATCTTTTAAATAACAATTTTTCATAGAGCTTTCGGTAAATGAATTAATCAACTCTGAGATGATTCTATTTGCTGATCTGTGCATAAATAACATTTGTGAAAATAATGCAGCCTGCTTTATTGCTTTTATCATCGGAAACTTTAAAAAAAAACTTTGGTCCTTAATCATCCAGACTTGCATCAACATCTAGTATTGGTGCTGCAGTAAAATTAGAAAGGAGGTAGACAAACTTGAAAACCACAAAAAGAGTTGGCATGGCAACGCCGTCAGGGTGTAGTCATGTGTTTATGTCCATTCATTATATCCAGGTGTCTCATGTCACCACAGGTATTTTATAGCTTCAGTTTAATGCATCCATCCTATATCTGCTTATTCCTTGTATGCTCAGAACATATATTTCATACAGAATTAATTTATAATATTTCTGCATGGATCTTGAATAGAGCCTTTTTCCATTTATTTCAGGTTCTTTGGTGGGTTGATCTTGGACATCAAGCGAAAGGCTCCTCACTACCTTTCCGACTACACAGACGCCCTCAGTCTCCAGTGTCTGGCCTCCTTCCTCTTTCTTTACTGCGCCTGCATGTCTCCTGTTATCACCTTCGGAGGGCTCCTGGGTGAGGCCACAGAGGGACGGGTGGTAAGATTTACTGCTTCATTGTACTTCCTAAATCTAAACTGCAGCTTGAGCTTCAAGTTAGTCTAGGTTTTATTTCAAGCTATAAGACTAGAGATTTGTTAATTATTTCCAATGGACAGCGGACCTTTACCCTAACAATTTTAGCTGATTATCATTTTATTTTTTTTTTATAAACTTTTGGAATCCCTGAGGTTTAATGAAAATAATCACATCTTCCTCTTGCAGTAATTGTTTCCACAGCTGATAGACTTAGACAGAAACAGATTTATTTTGTCATTTTGCATACACGAGTATATACAAAAAGAAATTTCATTTAAGACAGCTCTAGACAATTTCATTTTTTAAAGTGCAGCCTTGAAAAACAGTAATAAAAAGCATTAAAAAAAGAAAAAAATGACTGTATATTTACAGTTCTTGTGGTTTATGCGGACATTATGTGAATCTATAAAATCTACAGTTTTTACACTTCCTAGATTGTGAAAAGCTGCAGCCTACCTCTAAAAAGTGCCTTCACCTCCAAAGTAAATGCATTATGGGTAAAGATAATATGAAAGTTTATGTAAGATGTTATGATATCCTATCTTATAAGATCATTATATTTTAGTATATTCTATTCTATTCTAAAAGCAACGTTATTTTTTTATATGAATATAGTTTTATGTCATGTACAGTCTACGTCCAAAATTGATGCTTATTGTTTTATAATGCAGCTTGTAGTTGGTTACAATGAAAGTGTTGCTTAAAAATAGATATTTGGTATAAGTTGAATTAATCTTATCACCCGTGTTAGAAGTTGCAACTCAGGCTAATAACAATAAACAAGACAAGACTTTAATTTAATTTTGATAATTATAGCTTTGAGATACTGGAAGCTAAAAATCCAGTGTCTCTGTAAATGTGGATGTTGTGTAAAGGATGTAGCATACTCAGAAAGTTGAGTGGAAGGAAAAAGTATGGACTTGATACACTACAAAAAACTGAAATCTAAATAAGGCATTTTTTTTTAAATAGGTACATTGTTTCTTTACCTACTCAAATCAAGGTTAAATACAGTTATTTCTAAATAATTTTTTGCAGTGTAGGATTGTTGAGCAGATTCAATTCAGTAATTTGGCGGTTGAGCTTAGTGATCTACCTGAAAAAGTTCAGCGCGCTTCCTGCTGACATGTTTAATGGAGTTACAGACATCATTTTCCAGCAGGATTTGGAAACTGCCCACACTGCCAGGGGTATTGATTAAAAAACGTCGACCGTTTGTATTATATTCTACACACTGCAAAAAACTTGAAATCTAAATGTAATTTTTTCTCATGAGGTAAAGGAGAAACTTTGCCAACGGAACAAGACAATTTACATTTAAAATAAGATAAAAAAATTGCATTCTCTTATATCAAGTGCATTTTTTTCTAATAATCTTATTTTAAGAGCGAATCATCTTAATTGCGCACTCATATGGGGGATAATTACAGTTGATGTAAGAAATTTGTACCTATTTGTAGATTGTTTTTGCAGTACTTCATTTTTTGGCTGCCCTTAACATGATTGTAGGTACTTCGCATTATAAGTGGAAAGACTCTGAATCCGTCAAAGGTACATGTATGACTAAGTGAACGAGATCTCCATTTCCCATCTTTTTAGAGTGCCATTGAGTCCCTGTTTGGAGCTTCAATGACGGGGATAGCCTACTCTCTTTTTGCTGGGCAGCCTCTCACCATCCTGGGCAGCACTGGGCCTGTTCTCGTCTTTGAAAAGATCCTTTTCAAGTTTTGCAAGTAGGCTCTTTTCTTACATCTGTTTTCTTCTGCTGGAAAAATGTTCCTACCCGTTCTTGTGTTTTTATACTTGTGTGTTTTTATACCTCAGAGAATACGGCTTGTCCTACCTCTCCCTGAGGGCCTGCATCGGGCTGTGGACGGCTTTCTTCTGCCTGCTGCTAGTGGCCACAGACGCCAGCTCCCTGGTCTGTTACATCACTCGCTTCACAGAAGAGGCTTTCGCGTCGCTGATCTGCATCATCTTCATCTATGAAGCCCTGGAGAAGCTGATCCACTTGGGGGTGCACTATCCTGTCAACAAACATAACGACCTGCAGAAACTCACCCAATACTGGCAAGTTTCTGAGGCCGCTTTCTTTGGCGTCACTCGTCACATGATCACAGTGATGCTTTAGGCTGATATAACATACACTATTTGCCCAGCAGAAAATGCCAAGTTTATTTAACCTATATGCTAAAACTCCCTCTTATGTCATGAAATGATCAGTCTTATTATAAAAGCTTATGGATTGTTTTATGTCGAGCAGGTGTAGCTGTGTTGAGCCCAGGAACCCGAGCAATGAGACTCTGCAATTTTGGGAGGAGAGAAACATCACCACCTCCGAGGTCAACTGGACCATGCTGGAGGTCAAGGTAAAGGGCCCATTTATTACTTCTTAGTAGCCTTTTGAAAGTGAACAGATCATTTTTATCCCATGTGAACCTGACCTGAAAAGAAAAAATCCTAGTTGCATTAATTACAGCAACATTTTTTCCTGGGTTCCACCTCCCCCATCATTTGCTTTTACATCGGGGCCAGTAGGAGTGTGAGATGTTTCATGGGGTGTTTGAGGGGCCCGCCTGCGGACACCATGGCCCGTATATCCCAGACGTCCTCTTCTGGTGCGTGGTCCTCTTCTTCACCACAGTCTTCATGTCGGCCTTCCTCAAGGAGTTCAAGACGAGCCGCTACTTCCCCACCAAGGTGACAAACACTGAGTTCTTGAGTTGTAGTTTAGCCTCCATGGATCAGGAAATTATTTATTTGTTTTGCTTTTGGAAATTTAACAGCAAGAGATGCAATTAGCCCAGTGCTCCTTGTTAAAGTGATTAAAACAATGAAAAGTTTTCCTTGTCTGATTTTTACTGCTAAATATCTCAGGCCTTGATCCTTAACCCAATATGAAAGCATTGTGCAAAGAAAACATTTGATTTCATATTTAATTAAGTTTCACCGTCTGAAAACTGTCAAAACACAGAAAAACTGGTGGCAGACTTATCATAGAGACGAATTCTTTACTTTACTCTGTTGAGGATCTGTCAGGTAGAAGCAGACATCACTTATTCCCAGCTGTCTGTTTAAAGTCCTCCATTAAGTCTTTTAATTAAGCATAGTGATAATCCAGACTGCTTCACCTGATGCATCATTAGCGCACGCTGCCATCTACAGGTTGATATGGGATAAAGAAAAACCCTGCAGTCTGCATGGCCATTCTATGTCTAGTTTCTATGGGTTGTCATTGAGATGACACACAGCAGAGTAATGTGTGGGGTGATGTTGTCCGACTAAGCCGTGTTCTGTGATCGCCACCTCGTGGTGATGAATATTACTGTGCAGTAATACTGCAGATGGAGAACTGATGGCAGTTCAAATGAAGCATCTAAACCCTCAGTCATTTCTCCCTGTTTATTATTTATGGAACTTCTTTTTACCAACAGCTTTTTTTTCTTGTATGTCGCAGATTTAGATAAATTGCAGTATTATATTTCTTGCTTTTAACTTTTTAAAAAAACTTTTTTTTAAGTCCAGGAAAAGAGGAATTAAAACAATAATTGTACAAATGTTTACATAGAGAAGACATCATAGAGCAGATGGTAACCCTGAATCATTCTCTCCCCTAAAGTTCAATTCATTCAGTTTGTTTATATAACGCCAATTCACAGCATGTCATCTTAAGGCACTTTACAAAGACAGTTTAACCAGATCAGCCAGTCAAATTGATTCAAAGTCTAATAAAAAACAGCCGACTGCATCAACGCATTGTCTCGAAGGAAATCCCTCACCCTTAGCATGCTCATAGTGACAGTGGAGAGGAAAAACTCCCTTTTAGCAGGAAGAAACCTCATGCAGAACCAGGCTCAGTGTGAGCGGCCATCTGCCGAAGCCGACTCGGGTTCAAGGAGACAGAAGCAGAGATACAAAAAGAAACTGTAAAAGGCGTCCAGGAAACACACATCCACGCAGATTAGCTCCGAGCTAACTCCCATGTCATAGGATGAAGAGAGCACATCCAGCCAGTCACAGTCAGAGAAACAGGACTACACTGGAAAAAACAGGCCGATCTCCAACATCTATAAACAAAGGTGTTGATGGCAGTAGCACAGCTGATATTTCTCTACAGGATGGAGTCACAGCATACAGGAACAGTAGCAAAGCTACTGTGAAAAAAAGCAGAGAGAGATTCATAACATTAGAGATTGAACTGACAGAAATGTGCCCCTAATATAGCTTCATGTGTTTTTTTTTTTATATGATGCAGATATTGTGTTTAAATTTATCATGAATTTTATCTGAAGAATATTTCTGTTTTGTCCAGGTGAGGTCTGTCATCAGCGACTTTGCAGTCTTTATCACCATCCTGACTATGGTCCTTGTGGATTATGCCATTGGAATCCCCTCACCCAAATTGCAGGTCCCCAACAAGTTCAAAGTAAGCCGTCATGAACACATTGTCCGCTGAGGTTTATGGTATATTATTATAATATGGTTTGGCATAGTGATGTATTTATTTATTGTTTATTTGAAAGGGGACAGTGTACATTAATCAACATTAAAACAATGTAAATATACCCGAGTTAGCTAAGGAGTGCTAATTTTCATTGGTAGTCCCCCAGCCAGGTATAAAAAAGGCAACCTTTAAATAAACACAAGTATAAAATCACAAGATAAAATTACAATACCAATTACATAAAAAACATTATGACACACAGAAAACCTTAGTGCCCACAAATTTGGCTCTCTACAAGCCATTTTTAGCATTCTTTTTGAATGAAAAGAATGTATATTATAGGGCTGCACAGCATTGTGCAGTGCAGCTAAATGTGGTATATAGACTGTAGACATTACTTGGACTTAAACACCAATGATCGTGACTTTGACGTGACCCGTTTTGACATTTTTAATCATTTGCAATGTGTGTTTCAAACAATAAAGCCGCCTGCTAATCCTCTTGTTGCCACAACAAACAGGCAGGATCTACTCTGCTGTTGGTGTTTCTACTGCTTTCCCACCGTTATGAGAAAGAAGTGTAGTCAATAAGATGTTTGTAATGTTGGAAACAGAAGAAAAAAGCTGAACGGATCAAATGATTGATGGGCTTTACTGCAGCCTGACACATTTACAATGGATTTGACTGTGACTGGTTTTTAATTGCAAGTCTGCAGACAGTGTTGTGAAACTCTGTGAGCATCTGTATCAACTAAAGTTGAAGGGGTAGTAGCGGCCTAGTGGTTAGGGCATGGAGCTTGGAATCCTGAGGTTTTGAGTTCGAAACCCGCTCCCACAGACTTGCGCTCTGGCTCTCTGAGCAAGAACTTTAATCCCCGATTGCTCCAAGGGCGCCCCATGATGGCAGCCCTCTGCTCCCCAAAGGGATGGGATAAATTCTGAGGTAAGAGAGTCCCCAATGTGGGATCAATAAAGTTAAAAACATCAAAGCTGCCCTTTGTGTGTGATAGACTCAGCTCAAAATGCTCTAAGATAGAGTAGTAAAATAGAGCAACCATTTTGCCTTTTTAAAGTCAGAATTGAAGCTTCTGTTTCCTCAAGGTAAATATTTTTTTCTTTTAACATCCTTTTCTTGTCCTCATGTTAAACCGGTGGGTTGCCTACAGAAAATGTGTTTACCACCATTATTCAGGTCTAACATAATATTGCAATGCATGCAATATTGTTTTATATTTAAGGTTTAATGAAACTATTATGCAGAATATTGTATTATGTAGTTTCTCACATGCAAATATATATACAATATGGGTTGCCTGAGTTTAACGCAAACAAGAGCTTAAAAACTATAGTAGAGAGGCAACAACATCTAACTTGATTTACATTAAAATAAATTAGGGTGTGCTTAATATTAGGTTAGCAACTAAGTTTTTTTGTGCTCACTTTGATTTTTGATTTTAGAGTTTTAGTTTTTTACAATTGTATTTATAATCTGCTGTTACTCATAAATGTGGTATAATAAAACAAAAGCTTAAATTAGAATATTATAGCACAGCACAATTTATCATAATAATTGACAGTAGATAATGAAACAGAATAAAATACTGTAATTATACTTTAGTTACCTTACAGTACAGCAGAGGTCTTCAACGTTTTCCAGGCCAAGGACCCCCAAACTGATGGCGAGATTGAGCGAGGACCCCCTAATTATATATATTGTATGAAATTGTAATTGTAATTATATCAAACTGGACCTATAGTCACTCTATTACATATGGAGTAATGTAAGGAAAGTAATTTCGCCCTGGGATTATTAGAATATTTCTGATTCTGATTCCTCATTAATGGCACAGGTGTTGTGAATGAAACGGTGCCCAGCTTGAAAGAGCTCCTGTGTGTCGCTGAATGTGTGCATTGATGACTGAAAGACATCTTCTGCCTCCATTTATCTGTTTACTACAGTGTGTTAAATTCATGTTAATGGGTTTTTAAAGACATTTTAATTAGTGGGAAGAAAATTGCAGGAGGGTAATATAAAAAAAAAAAGTCTAATCAACCAAAACTTTCGTGACCCCCATGCAGTACCTCCTTGGACCCTCTAGGGTTCGTGGAACCCCTGTTGAAGACCTCCGCAGTACAGAATAGCAGAGCTGGTTGTTTATATTTTGTCACAGAAATCCTAATAAGGGGATATTCTTAAGATCCTCATGAATCACAAAAATAATACATTGAATAGTTGTATTGGAACCAGTTTGATCATTTTGATTTTTAAATATTTATTTTGGGCATGTCCTAACTGAGCAAAAAACGTCTTCACAGCCAACAAGAGATGATCGAGGCTGGATTATAAACCCTGTGGGACCCAACCCATGGTGGACCACCATTATCACGTTTGTTCCCTCTCTGCTCTGCACCATCCTCATCTTCATGGACCAGCAGATCACAGCTGTTATTATCAACAGGAAGGAGCACAAACTGAAGGTGGGATCTATTTCTTTGTCTCTCTGTGGACGTCAGTGCGCGGTTTCCCTATGAGTGCTGAGGTCTGTCCCTATTTCGTCCCCTTGCAGAAAGGCTGTGGTTACCACCTGGACCTGTTTGTGGTGGGGGTCATGCTGGGCGTGTGCTCGGTAATGGGCCTGCCGTGGTTTGTGGCGGCCACGGTGCTCTCCATCTCCCACGTGAACAGCCTGAAGCTGGAGTCGGAGTGCTCGGCTCCTGGAGAGCAGCCCAAGTTCCTGGGCATCCGAGAACAACGCTTCACCGGCCTCATGATCTTTACGCTCATGGGCTGCTCTGTCTTCATGACCTCTGTGCTAAAGGTTAGAGGACACCTCGTATGCTGTCACAAAATATTCACACGTCTCTTTAAATAAAATATATTTATAGATTTTTTTTAGGGAAAAATATTTTTAAAACAAAAAAAAGATTTAATCTACTTTTATATTGCATGTTAAAGTGACTTTATTCATGTTTCCTGGTAAAGTTTCCTTAAAGGTGATGTAGAAGACATTTCCAGCAAGCTATTTTTTGAACATATACAACCGTGCCTCTCCCTTCAGACCACCTCTCGAAACCACGCCTTCAAAACACATGAACGCTCATGCTGTGTGCAGCGCTGATGCAGAGTGCTATGATCACTCCTCTGAAACAATTTATTAACTAACGCCTAAATTAACTTAAAATGCCGAAATCTGCCGGCAAAACATGTTCGCTCTTATTATCCTGGTGCCTGCAGTTTCGATTACGTACATGAAAAACGCTTTCCAGCCGCCTCAGCAAATCTCGAGGAGGCGACCGGGACATAGACTGCTGTTGAAAAGGATTCCTACTAGTGACAGCACACCGCCAGTGCGTAGGGGTCTGAGCGACTCTGACAGAAATAATATTTGAAAGCAGGATGGTAATCTGGATGAACTGACTGCACTGACGATGTTTTCAGGTGGACTTTCTGACTTCAAAATAGATTCAAACTACTTTTTTACCCACTGATCACAGCAAACATAGCTGCCATTGTGACAGGCAAAGAAAGGATAGGGTAGCTCCGCCCAAAGCGCGTCAGAGGCGCATCAGACCCTAAAAAAATGTCTGGGTGAATTTCAAAATCATCCGAGATTTTGGTCGACTACATTGCAGCAGAACCGAGCAACCGAACCCGACCCGTTGACTGTAGCCTGGACACCAGCGGGCCTGTGCACGGCTACCATCCCCAGGTCGGGTTCGGTCGCTCTGTCCCCGGCTGCCGGCGTTCCCAGACCAGCCCCAGAGCTCACGGCTCAGTTCCAATACAGTGTACTCCTTTTCAGACGCCCAAATCTGGTCGACATAGGTGTGAACGTAGCATAGCAGTGGCTAGCTTCCAGCCGTGGCGTCCTGCGCGAGCATTGGGGGTCGATTCGTTCATGTATCAGGGTACGCACACAGGGGGGAGGAACAAGCAGACGACCATGATTGACGTGTCAGGAACCAATCGTGTACAACGGACCGCCTTTTGTGATTCGTTGGGGTTATTCTTTGATTTCTCACTGTAGCGGGGACCATTTATTTCAGTTTCACTTCCAGACCTTCTATTTCACTGCTTGCTAAGTGGCTGTGGGGAAATCTTTAAGTCAAATGGTAAAAAATGCATCAGAAAAGGTCTCCTTTAAGCCCCCTAGCCTTGATAAAGACCTTTGGAATCATGGAGTCGCTTAAACAGAACCTGTTTGACTACATGAAGTGGGCTAAAAGAGCTAAAAAACCATAAGATCAGAGCATTTTTAAACCATCACACCTTAAAATCTTTCATTTATTTCAAAATCCATGATTATTTAGAGGAAACGCATCAAAATCCAAACAAAAATATTTCTTATAAATGCTTTAAAGCAGTTTTAAAACATGTGAACAACTCGGTGGTTATGCCGTCAGCCTTAAGCGCTCTGATCCTGACTGTTTACACTCTGTTCTCAGTTCATCCCCATGCCTGTGCTTTATGGCGTCTTTCTCTACATGGGGGCGTCGTCCCTCAGAGGCATTCAGGTGAGTATGTGCAGCACCTGAAGTCATAACTAACCCAGAAAGGATTAGTTTATTAACTATCTTTGTATCTTTGAAGTTCTTCGATCGCTTGAAGCTGTTTTGCATGCCACCCAAACATCAGCCAGACTTCATCTACCTTCGACATGTACCCCTGAGGAAGGTGCACCTCTTCACCATCATCCAGCTCAGCTGCTTGGTCCTTCTCTGGGTCATTAAGACCTCCAGGGCGGCCATCGTTTTCCCCATGATGGTATCTTGACGGCTTCTTTTCATGTACATATTATTTTTTGTCCTTGCTTGCTTATCATCATCCCTCTGCTGCTTCTCCAGGTTTTGGCTCTGGTTTTTATTCGCAAGCTGCTTGATTTCATCTTCACTAAGAGAGAACTGAGCTGGCTGGATGATCTCATGCCAGAGTGGAAGAAGAAGAAGCTGGAGGATGCAGCGAAGGAGGTGCAGAAGAAGAACACAGTGTTGATCGAAAAATATTATTTATTGTTAGTGCTGCCGCTGCAGGTTCTCTGTTTCCTCTCTGTCTACAGGACGAACACAGTATTATTGCAGAAGAGGAAGGGATTGTGCAAGTACCACTGGAGGGGCACTACAAGTGAGAGATTCTCATTGTTTATTTCATTCTACATGCAGCTCTGCAGCTTTGATAAAATTCCATGAATTCCAATGTGTTTTATTGCCATTTTTATGTCAGAAACCAACATGAAGTGCAACTCATTTGTAAAGGACAATATCCAATCATCAAAAATGCATCATTATCTGATCTAACAGATGATTGGCTGAGAGTGGCAGCGTGTCAGATAAAGATCTGCTTGTCATTGGTACAAAAGTAAACAAGTATCAGGATTACTGATGCTATTAAAGTACTAAGTATTAAAGTCAGTGTCCTCTCAAAACCAGGATGTCGTTTAACCCAGAATGGACAAAAGAGCGTGAATTTATGACCAAAGGAAGTGGAGATTCATTCCATGGTTTCTGCCACTTTATCGATGCGATGTGAGCGTAAGCAGTCAAGGAAAACCTGCAATTGAACGGCGTGCGAGTACGGATTAACATAAAAGTAATAAACGTGCAGCAGCGAACTCTTCAATGTTGGCTTTTACATTAAGTTTTGTCGCTCCTTTCAAAATTCAAAATGTATTAATTTAAAATGCTTAACAATTCCTGTAATGAATGAAAAGCACAATGAAAGAAATAATGTCTCATCTAAACATCCCTCACTTAACAATAAAAGTTAACAATAACTCTCAACTCCCAATAACAGATGATACTCAGCCTCAGCAATGAACGAAATAATGTCTGTTCTGTAGGCTATTAGAAAAAATAAATTAACAAATGAGCTAATTAACAAAAAATACCTCTTGTGTAGCAAAAATTATTCAAAATGTACCCAAAACAAACAAACATATCAATAGACTATCTTTACTTTCCGAGTCCAGGTGGCTTTTCAGATTTCTTGCACCTCCATTGGACACCGAGACATATGTGCCTGCTTTGCACACTGTGCACAAGGCCTCCCATTTGTCTCGACCTGGTCTGAAAGCGGGGAAACTCTTTTGTAAATCGTCAGTAAACATACATTTGCGCTTCTGCATGTTGTTGGCGTACTGACAGCCACGCCATCTATATTCTGATTAAGAACAGGGCTGCCCGCACTGATGCGGCTCAGGAATTACGTCACACGCAGCGTTGTGCGCAGTGCCCTAGTGCCTGTAAATTTAATGGTCCAATTAAGGTAATTTAAAAAATCAGGACATTTCCTCACTTTCTAAAAAAAACAACCGGGACGCCCGGGACAGGACGTGAAATACGGATATGTCCCGGGAAATACGGACGTTTGGTCACCCTAGCTAAAGGGATGACCATAAAGACAGATCTGCTGCACACGCAGACACTTAACATAAGTTCCCAAAAGTCTGAGGCTCCTAAAAATAAAGCTATACTTTTAGAGCAGTTCAATGTGCTTTCTACAATTTCTTTTGTTGTTTAAAAAATTATCAGGCTATTTTATTATGAACGTTTCTTGTTAAAAAGATTTTTTTAACGTTTAAGTCCACATGATATGCTTTGTGGTATTCTGCACTTTAAAGATTCATCATTTGTGGTCACTTTTTAAACACCACAATGTATTAAATGAATACAAATGCTGGGAACCAATTCTTTTTTACATTTCTTTAATATTTTTCTCTTTAAACTACTAAGAATTTACCCGATTCTTATGTACACCTTAGTAATTTAATGATATGCAGCACAATGTCCTCCTTTTTGGTGCTATAGAATGGCCATCCTAGTCCCTACCCAGTTATCTGAATCCTCTGTCCTACCTCCTTTTATGGAGCCTAGGCAGAAGTTCAGCTAAATAAATGATTACTTACCCAACGCCCGCCTCTGTCACAAGCCAATCAGTTCTTAACCACACCTCCACGTAACCCAATTAGCATCCTTTGCACATCTTAAAACGTCGCCAAATCCACATCTCAGTCTGCTACCCAAAGCCTTGGCAGTGGTAGCACCATGTCAGACTTTGACTCAGTTGACCCGATTCACCCGCCTCCTGCCCCTTCTCCACCATCGTAGCCAAGCTTCATCAGAGGGCCATTCCTCCAGGACTCTTGCTGCGTTCCGCGTCTCATTTCAACCGGTCCGGCAGAAGACCGCCATGTTGAGCCTGGTTCTGCCAGAGGTTTCTTTCCAAAGGGGAGTTTTTCCTCTCCACTATCGCTCCATGCTTGCTCATCATGGACAGGTTCATGCAACCTGTGTTATCCAAGCTGGATTCTCGTCTTCGAGGTCCCAGAGTGAAGCTCTAGTATCAGCTCATGCAGTTCACTGGATCTCTTCATACAGCAGTCATGAACTGACCAACTTCATCCATTTCCAGTCCACCACCAGTTTCAGGCCTGGGGGGGAACCTACCTACTCCTACTCCCGTTTATGCATATCAAAGCAAAATACATTCCACTCTAATGTCTCCTGCCGAGGTCTGAGTGCAAAAGACTAAAGTAAATGTATCAATAAAACTCTTCTAATTGTATTTCTTTTGTGTGAGTTTTTCAGGTTGAAATCTTTCCCTTCACTCTGCCTTCTTTCCTTTCATCCTTGTGACCTCATAACCTTCCCCTCCAGCCATTCTGACCCTCTTTCTTTCCTTCCTTTCTTCCATGTGTCCTTCTTCCTTTCACTTCTGCCCTTCCTTTTGATGTTAATTTCTAATTTATAAGGTACTTGTGTCCTACTTCTCTTCCCTTTGTTCTTCATTCTTTGTATCCAACCACTCTTTGTTTGTGATATCCATTCATTCCCCTTCCTTTCCTTTCTTGCGTCCTACCTCCCTTCTCCTGTTTAGCCTTTAATTATGTTCTTCCTCTCTTGCATCCTTCTTTCCTTCTTCCTTTACCTTTTTAATCATAGTGGGAATTCCTAGAGGAGACTTTCCTAAATTTCTCTGTCTGTATGTCAGCCTTAAGGTCAAAGCAACCTTTTTTTTTTATTTTCTGTTTTATACTGAACAAAAAGGTCTGAGAACCCTTTAATTTTCCTATGTAACATGCAGGAGCTCTGTGCATATAGTAGCTGTGAGGAAAACGTGTAGAAGGACTCTATGGTCATGGAACAATGACTAAGATGAAACATTTAATTTTGCCACACATTTATGTGGCATTAGATACACAATACAGTTTAAATCGAAGCCCATAGAAATGTGCAAAGAAAAAACATTTAATATAATGTTTTCCCTATTCCAGTCAGTCTTTGTATGTTGAATGTCGTCTTTCTTTAGTTCTATTCTCTGCAAATAAATGAGAAAACATTAAGAGTGAAACACTGACCTCTTCTCTGTGTGTTTAAAGGAGTGATCCAGCCACAGTGAACATCACTGACGAGATGTCCAAAGGATCTTTTGGGAACGTGTGGAAGGCTGTGAGTCCAGCTGAGAGCTCTAAAAAGGAACCGAGCTCAAAAGGGTAAGCCTCTTATTCCCAACACTTAACATCTGCATAATGCTAAATGATTTTGTGCTGGAAAAAATATTAATTTCAAGTTACAGGTTTATTTTTCTCCTGAGCTACATTTTTTCACCAGTAAAGATGTGAATTTCAGAGCAGCTGTGCCCTTGCAGATTTCCCTCTGCGTAGACTAACATAGTATGTCCTGCCTGCTTCTCTCGCTCCATCCTACCCCTAAGCTCCCCTTCCTAACCTCTCAGAAGCTGATATCCCAAAGGTAAGCTGTTCCCTGCAGTCCCTGTCGGCATGCAGAGTCTCATTTTGTCTTTACTCCAATCTGTTGCACGATAAAAAAAAGACACTCTGTAGCACGGGTGTCAAATTTCAGTCCTCTCAACTTTTAATTCAATTCACTTCAGTTTATTTATATTCAGAACATGTCATCTCAAGGCACTTTACGGTTCACCAGATCATCCAGTCAAATTGATTCAAAGTTTTCTATCTAAGGAAAACCAGTTGATTGCATCGACTCATTGACTCAAATGCAATCTCTCACACTAAGCATGCTTGTGGCGACAGTGGAGAGGAAAAACTCCCTTTTAACAGGAAGAAACTTCCAGCAGAACCAGACTCAGTGTGAGCGGCCATCTGCTGAGGCCGACTGGGGTTCAATGAGACAGAAGCAGAGATACAGAAAGCAGCTGTCAATAAACCTCAATCAAATATATGGCTTATTTGAAAATGGGTAGGAGGTTCAGCCATCTAATTCAGGTGTTTTAGATTTTGTTAAAATGAGGAAGTTATGTCCCCTAAAAAAGGCTGTTGCGCCTCGGGGCTTCCTCACGGTTCTTTTCCTTGGAGCAAGTTATTTACTACTCTTAATTCAAACTGGGTAAAACCATATAAAAAGGATTATAAAACAGGAGTAAAAAAGTAACAGAGTTTATTCCAGATCAGGTCATTACAGGACAGAGAAAAATCACAACCGTGAGCGTCCGGCAAAGATTGAGCCCCGAGCAAGGTCATCTTCTCCTTCTTATAGCTCATGAGTCCATGTGTTGCATCATGTGGATGTTTAGCTGTCCGTAACAGAAACTGACACGCCATCCATGCCCTGACCTGTATGCATCTTGCCTCTATGCCCAAGATTACCGATACATCTCCTCTATCAGTCCGGCTCCAAGATGTGCCCATATCCTGTGTATCTTAAAAGACAAGAAGGCTGTCCTATTTAGATGACCTCCGTACTCACAGTGACGTCCGCAATGTGAAGGAAGGCCTTCTACTCTATCTAATCTGGCTAACAGAATAACAACGCACATGATGTATAAAGAATAAATCTAACAATTTAAACCAGCAGGACTGAACTCTGACACCCCTGGCACAGTATTGGTTAATACTGTAGTATTAATTGATTATCTTTAAATAGTTCATGTTGTCAGGGTGTGCATGTTAAGACGACATTTTGAATCAATTTGTAAAACTCTTCATATCATTTAAACAGTTTTTTGTGTTGTAACAACAAACTTAGAGTAACACTAATTGTGATATTTATGAGGTGGAAGGAAAAGGATTAAATTTAACAAATAAGAATCTGGCAATTTGTCATGTATTCAGGTCCCTTTTTTTTATTTTTTACCACACATGTTCGGCCACTGATAATTACTACAGTAGTAGAACCATCTTTTGTTACCATTATAGCTCTGGCTGTAATTGTTGTTTTTATCCAGACTAATTCCCAAAGGGGACCCTGTTTGTTAATTAGGTGACTTTTAAAGTTCATTCCAATACAAATTAAGGTCATATTTTCATATTCTTATTTGTAAAAAAAAACATTTAAACCTTGTTTCCTTTTGCCTCTTGCTTAATATTATCATTCTCCCGTTATGAAGTACTTTACTTTATGAAGTAGCTGACTGTAGGATGATTTGGTAGGTGTCTGTAAAATGTTACTGAATATTTCTGCACCTTAAATTATACCCAAATCCAATCTTCAGTCATACATCCTTCAGATATATTTGCATGTTTTGTTTGCATGTCCCTAACAATTACCCCATTAGCTCTAATTTCATCCTAACATTACATTTGCTTTAAGTTTTTATCTTTTTGTTTTCCTCCCAAAAGTTGTGCCAGAAGCGGTGAAAAGCGACACAAGAAGAGGAGGCATGACAAGAGCTTGGATAAGGAGACGAGTTTGTAATGACACATACTGGCGACGCCACTGTGCTGTCAATCAGTAAATACAAAAAAAAAAATAGAAAAAGAAGCAAAACAAATATACCGTGCCACACTCAACCACCTATGTACTGTGCTACACTGTGTTTTTAGTCATGTAAGTCCGTGTGCAAGCTGTTCAAAGGCAAGGCGTGTTTGTTGGGAAACATAAACAGCATAAGGAAACTTGCTGGGAAAAAACACCAAGTAAAGCAGGCAGAAGGAAAAGTCAAGTTTGGACATATTCTGGTACACATGCAGACCGGTAAGGCATATGTCAGTGATCACTTTGTGAAGATCTAGCATATCTACAGAGGGTACATCATAGTGTTGCATGTGGAGTGGTGCTTCAGCATCATTTCTGTATCTTACAGCATTGGCTGAAGCAGGGTGTCCAACAATTAAACTCTATCCAGTGGAGTTTAATGGATTTTTGAAGCCGTCTTCTCTTTCTGAGGATCTTCCCAATCCAAGAATCTGCCTCTTAGACATTGCTCCACAAGTAACATTCAAACATCCCTCTGATGCCCCATCTAGACCAGAGAAATTTTATATTTTTGTTTATTTATTTTTTTGTAAATACAAACAAAAATTGTTCCTTTAAGTGTTTCACACAGAGATGAGTTTTAGACCTGATAATAAAATAAGATCCAATAAAACCTTGCTTTAAAAATCAGTTAGATTTACCATTTGAAATAATACATAATCAGAATCAATGTGGATAGAATTAGAAATTAAAGAGCACTTTTAATTAAATTCACTTAAATTCAGTTTATTTATATAGCACCAATTCACAACACGTTATCTGAAGGCACTTAACAAAGACAATTCAACCAGATCATACAGTCAAATTGATTCAAAGTTTCCTATCTAAGGAAAACCTGCTGATTGCATCGACTCAAAGGCAATCCCTAACAGTAAGCATGCTTGTAGTGACAGTGGAGAGGAAAAACTCCCCTTTAACAGGAAGAAACCTCCAGCAGAACCAGGCTCAGAGGCCGACTGGTGTTTAAGGAAATCAAATGTGCAAAAAAAACAAAAACAACAATTTTTGCAATTTCACTAAGTTTTTATAATCAAGCAGGCTTTGTGGGTTTGGCGAGACTTAACTTATCCACTCAGATCTGCAACTTTTTATGCAGTGCTCCTAAAAAGTCCTTTTCTTATGTTAAAATGCATTTCAAACTCTGGTACTTAGATAATTTGATATATATTGCAATGGTACTGGTGATAAAAAAGTTTTCTGCTCTAAATGAGATGCTTTGAATCAGTTTAATTCTAATTTCTGGTCTGCATGTGTATCAGAATTTTGTCAAAATTGACCTTTCTTTCTGGTGGCCTAGCTTGGTGCGGACCATAAGTTACGATGATGATACTGTACCAGCAAAAGTGTGAAGCCAGAATTATGATTCCAACAATACCTTAGTCAACAGGCCAATTGCTGACAGATTTTAAATGATTTTAACAACTCCTTTCTTCGTATTTTGTATGTTTTTATATTTTTCCAAGAACAACTGCAAGTTGTCTCTTCAAACACCTGCCACAGGAAGTGCAAATGCATTTTATGTGGAGCATTAAATGCTGCAGCAGAATTTCGCACCTTAGGATAGAAAACAGATTTGATGTCGGCCAGAACTGATCCAACTCAGAGGTACCTTAGAGCGCTGGCTGCGTAACTTTCTGAAAGTATACATTTTATATATACTATAATGTAAATCTAAATGTCTATGTGTCAGTGACTGTATTCACCTTTGATGTTGCACATATAAATGTTTCTCCTTCAGTCGAGCGTTTTTCCTCGGTTTGGCCTCCTGAGAAATTTCCATTTTAGCCATCTTACTGAGAATGAACTGAGAAGATTGATACCTTAGATGGGCCCTGGGTCAATTTGCCTTTCCTCAATTTGTACCAACATGTTGATATTTAATTTGTAAATCTTAAAACCAAAACATTTCATAGCCATGAACCTCAACCATGGTAAATCAGTTGAATTACTTCTTCTTGTAGTTTGAAAATCCAAGAAATCCTTAATTCCTATGTACACATTAATTTGATTATAGACAAAATGTACAATACATTTTTGTTTATTTTAATTTCAATAATATTCCCGGTTTAGTCAGTTGTCTTGATGAATTATTATCCTAAAATCAGACATGGAGCTGACAGATATTTACAATCCAAGACATAAAAGCATAATTTATAACGGTATACAACAGATCACAGATATTTTCTTCAGATTGTAATGGGATGCTCCCATACAAAAAAGAAATGGCAAAGGAGTGTAACAGACACATACTAAAGCTAGCATGAGGTTAGCTTTTTAAGCACAACGATTAGAAATGGTTGCTAATTTCGAGCAACGTTCAATTCATTTCAATTTATTTATATAGCTCCAAATCACAACGCATGTCATCTCAAGTCACTTTACAGTTCACCAGATCATTCAGTCAAATTGATTCAAAGTTTTCTATCTAAGGAAAACCAGTTGATTGCATCGACTCATGGACTCGAAGGCAATCTCTCACACTCTCCATGCTTGTAGCAACAGTGGAGAGGAAAAACTCCCTTTTAACAGGAAGAAACCTCCAGCAGAACCAGGCTCAGTGTGAGCGGCCATCTGCTGAGGCCGACTGGGGTTCAAGGAGACAGAAGCAGAGATACAAAAAGCAGAGATTCTGTCAACCAGCTCAACAGGAAAAACAGTCAGGCAGAAGAAACATGTCCCAAACTACAACTACAAACTAAAAGTATGAAATTGCGAAGGGAAAGAATGACCAGTAACCCCCTCTCATATCATTAAAAGACCCAAAGCTAAAGTTACTGAGAGGTTCTACTTGGCTGAACACAAAGACTGAAAATGTGGAAAATGGTTATCCAGCTTCTAGAAATAATACCTAAAGTTGATAAGCACTTTATATCTTCTTGTTTTGACTTCAAATTGAGTTTTTTGTGCAAAATATGAATCAACATCATTAATAAAAGAGCCAAATCAATCCTTGAACTTTTCCAATGTAAGGAAATCAAATGGCCCTTTTCTCTGCTTTGTTTGGCAAAAAACAAAATAAGGGCCAAACTGCTCCATATTAAATAGGAAAAGATTGAGCATAAAATATCCTAAACTACAAAGGTACTAAATAGCAAAAAAGGAACTTGAAGCTAAAGCAAGTGGAAGGCTAGTTAAGACGATAGCACAAAGATTGTAAAACCTGACGAGTATCTAAAAATAACTAAAACAATTACAGCTTAGGTGCCCTAATTATTATTCTTTGGGTTTCATTATAAAAGAAAATGCTGAAATGCTATTTTTGCAGAACTGAATTTAAAATCAGTCCTTGCTAGTTTTAGCATATAATCATGCAAGAAATTCAATTTTAATTAACTAGAATATATAGCTGACAAGCACTTTATATCTTCTTTGTTTCATTCCAGAAAGCTTGTAAAATGTAATTTGCTCCAAACAGAAATCTAAATTTGCGCTCATTCAGTTAATAAACACCAGAGCCATATCAGTCTTTTCAATTTACTCTTCGAAAAGTAAGAAAGTGAATGGTTATTTATTTTCTAACGCAGTACGTTTCTGGGGCAGCTTCATTGAAAACAGTATTTTCCAGCTTGCATGGCAGCATAGTTCAGTAACTTGTAACCTAAGCTAATATTAACTACCTTTTGCTTAAAGCGGAGAGAAACTTGCTTAACTTTTGGGTGATTGTACATGTAGCTCAATGTTTTCCAGCCACATACTCTGTCACAATGTCAGTAAGTGTCATCTATGGACATGTGGTCTCCTCTGAAATCCACCTTGTGTGTGTTAGCATCCGAATCTAATTGTTTAAAAAAAAAGATATAATAAACAAATCCTGCATGATGGTGAAATTATTTCACTGCAGGATCATGGTTTCTTCTAGAGATGCAATAATCCTATTCTTTTCTTCTGGTAAGGGCAAAATGTAAATGGTAAAGAGTCTTAACAATGTATAATACATAGTATATTTTATTCATGTAAAATGTTACTAATATATTACTAATATGAGACGTGTTGATTTCAAACTTTTGTCGTTTATCTCCCCCCCACTGTCTAATTGATAGTTCTTTGCTGATAAGAGGAATCAATCATGGGTCAGAATTAAATCAGTATTTAAATATTTTTGACCAGTTCTGGGTGATATTTTGCCTTAAATTTGGTCTTATTAGACAGGCACTTTGTGTTTAACAATTTAAGTCACCCTATCAGTTTAGAACTGTTGTGCAGTTGTAATTAGTTTCATGAGAATGAGAGTGTGTGTGAAAGAGATGATAAATAAAACTATAAAACAGCTACAATTGTTTGGGACTTTTTTTTTTATATGTCATATTTTTCAACTAAGGGAATGTTTTTTTTTTTTTTTTAGACCTTTACAATTACACCAGTCCTGTATAGCAGCTGCCTTTTTTAACACTAGGGTAAAAATGTGTTTCTGATTTTTAGTCTGTGTATTTTATTTAGATATTGTGACACAAAAACAATCTGACGATTTTGAAGTGGAATATAAACTGTATTCGGTTAGAAATCTGGAAAAATATAGCATCCATTCTTATTCAGGCTGTGCTGTTCTGCTGTCCCTAAATCAGGGGCGGAGCTAGATGGGGGGCCAGGGGTGACCATGGCCACCCTTAGCCAATCAGATGCAGATACTTTGCAGAATGATTACTGATAAAAGTAGGTAATTGAATAGATGTTAGCCCAAAACTCAAACCTGAAAGAATTTTACCCACTATACCTTTTATCTAGAAAGCACGGATTTATGAATATATTCGTCTATTTGTTAGCAAAGACTGTGGGAAAATACAGTTTGTCTTTATTTAGAAAATATGGATATTTTGCTAATTAATTTTCCTGTTGGAACATTGTTGATTGACAGAGAGGTTTTGGTGCCTATCTGCTTTCGGCCACCTAAGTGTACATTGGTTATTGCCTGGCCACCCTTGTAAAAATGCTCTGGCTACGCCTCTGCCTTAAATAAAACCCAATTACAATCCAGTGATAATTTAATTTGTTTGTTTTCTTTAAGCGCAGGTTTGTAACAGTTGCATTTTTTATTTTTCCCACCTGACTCAATACCTTTAAACCTACTTTAGTGATAGCAACAGCTAACACTAAAGTGGTAGCCAAAGCATGTACTTAAGTGTCCACTTGGGAAACATCCACACTCAAGTGCCCTCTCAGGAGCCAAATCATAGGCTAAACTGCCTTCTTGGGGGCTAAAGGCTTGCTAAACTGCTCTCTAAGAAGCCAAAACACTTGCTAAAATGCCCTCTTGTAAGCCAAATTTGTTTTAAACTGCCCTCAAGTGTCCTGTTGGAAGTCAAAGCACTTGCCGAATGCCCCGTTGGGAGCCAAGTCGCTTGATGCAGTGCCCTCTTGGGAGGCCCTTTTTTTTCTGCCCCTGCCCTTCAAAAAGTCTATGCATGCCACTGGCATGCAACCTTTGCAAAGCAAAAAATGGTAACATTATAAAAAAGAAAAAAAAAAAGATAATGACTACAATGTTAAATTCTAAAAATGCTGGGATTAAATCAATATTTTAGTTGCTTTTTAAATGATACAAGTCAGGTTCTATATAGTCAAGTTGTAAAAATACGAAATAATATTCCCTTCATTTCGCCTTATAATGCCCTAAAATCTTAGCAGATTGTGCACTTTTAGGAACTGCTGTATATAAACCCAAACAAAGGACACAAAGTTGAAATAAATGACGAGGTTTATTTAGCAGAGTAAAATATTCTTTTGATGTGACAATCAAGTGCTTTCCATACGACTACCTGAGACAGAACACCTGGTGTTCCTGTTTGCAGCTTAGAAATATAGAAAATAAGTTTCATTTGTAGAAAATTTCATGCCCTGAATTTCATTTTCTTTCCTTGTGCACCTTCAATCTGTGGAAGAATAGCGTTTCTTTGTATCTTTGCAATACATTCAAAGTGAAGTAAAAAAAAATTGACATTACAACATGCAAAGCATAATGGCTTCCTCCTGAGTATGGCTTTAGTGGGCCTTTGAGGAGACTCTCATTGGTCGCCTTGCCTTTTGTTGCTGCAAAAAACAAAAACAATCAAAGTAATCTGAGAAAAGCAAACCAGAGCATTTGTGCAATCAGCTGTTATGACTGTGTTACCTCTCCCCTGTAGGTTTAGAGGTCATGACCCAGAGTAAGTATTCTTTGGCAGCCATGGCGTCCAGCACCTTGTTCACATCGCTGGTGAAGCTTCCATCTACATGCCTCCTGCTGAACGTCTTAGCCAGCGTGTCCATTTGCGATCTATGTACAAAAGGACACAATGTAAACAGTGCCCATCAAGGGTCAGCGACCCTTTTAGACCTACAAGCCAACAGATGTTGCTATAGCCTACATTGATGTAAGCGTTTTTATATTTGCTTCTCTCGTGTGTTTTGTGGTTCATCCCATTGCTAGCAAATAGAGATACATCGAATCAACACAGTGGAAAGGTTCATGTGATTTATTTGATCACAACAATGAGAGGAAAGGAAAAGGGGAAGGGAAACACAAAGCAGATGATTGGCTCAAGATCAGTCTGGTTCCCTTGATGGAATCACGGAGGAAGCGGACAGGCAGGTGGTTTTTCGGAGACTTTGAAGCTGCATGGAGGAGGAGGAGGAAGAAGGGATTGGCCTACTCTCTTCTGATTTCTCCAGACTTGAGCTTGGACACAAAGTCTTTGATAGCTTGGTCCTTGAGGTAGGAGCTCACATCGCTGGTGAAGGTTCCGTCTGCATGACGTTTTTCAGCACTGCTGGTAAAAAAAAGAGAAGGAGAAAAACCTGAAACTCATAAAGTTTTACATTACAAAAGGGTTTGACTTCTTAAATGTTCTGCCACCAACCCGCTTCTTTTTTCACTCATTAGCCATCGAACAAAGTCCTGGGCCTTCCTGTCCTCCAGGTATTTGCTGTAGTCGTTTGAAAACGTTCCCTCAGAGTGTCTCTTCATGTTCGACAGCTCCCTGGGCTCGCTGTCTAATGTGTCTTCCTCAAAGCTGCAGCAGATGGAAGGCATCATGTCACCTTTTGGTCATTTCTCAGACTCAGAATTTAGAGACAGAAATCGTTTGTTTTTCAACTGGTTACAGTAAACCATAAAGGGATAGCTCAGGATTTTTGAAATTAAGTTGAAACATTCAGTTTAAAATAACTCCCTCTTGTAGCTGGATATAAAACCCATTGTGTAACCGCACAAAAATACATGCTTAAAGAGAATTGATAAAGTTTGTATTCTGCTCAGTTATGCCTAATGTTGCTAATCCCCCAATAATCCCCACATTTATATCTACTCTATATTCATCTTAATATCTACTTTTTAGATTAAATAAATGATGCAATATGGCATTTGATCATTTTTTAATGCATTGGGCACTTATTTATGTAGGAGCTCTTAATTATGCACATAGGACATGGAGATAGGAGGGTGTGCACCTCTGTTAATCCTCCTGTGAGAAACACTAACAAACGGAAAAAGTTTTTAAATGCAATAGAAGAATTTAATCAAAAATTATACCTCATCAAACAGTGGCAGCATAAACCGCTGTTATGAATTTTTACGTTGGGCTTTTTTTAGATAGACCTCAAATTCTTTTCCAAATAGATATTCCTTGAGCAGAACATTTATTCTCCAGGTGCGGAATATTTATATTGTTAAAACACTTTACAGTACAGTATTTCTTTTTATTTTTTTTAACTCTTCACTATTATGTTATTCTTGTGCACTTTTCTAAGGTCCATATTTGTTTGACCATTTGTTTTTCTATAATCTTTTTGCTGCTGTACACACCAGAATTTCCTCATTGTGGGACAATAAAGTGTTTTCTATTATGTTCTATTCTATTACTCTTTATTCTGTATTGCACTCTGGTTCAGTTTAGGCTGGTTTTCGTAGAGTTGTTTTGTAAAACTAAAAGCTGTATGATCTTATAATGTAACATGTTTTTTTTTTAATCTTTATCATCACAAAACAACTGATAAGACTTTTTTAACCACTTACTAAATGCTTACTAAATACACTGGTATCAATTTTAGTCCAATTTCATGTTATAACTGTTGAGCCATTTAAGTCTGACGATGAGAGCTTAAACTTTTGCTCAGGTTTTATATATATATTTTTTCCTCTTGTATGTCACAGGCTTGTTAGAGTTAGAGTTGATCTGACTGTGCTACACCTACAGGGTTTTACCTTAAGCTGTCCTCCATGCCGAGTAGAGGAACCTGCCAGCTGAGCTGCGCAAAGCCCAGGACCAGGAGGAGGCCGGCCAAGAAGTGGATGTTTCTCATGGTCATAAGCTGCGACATAGAACAAGGCATGAATGTGGAAAACTTGTCAGCTGAAGGTAAACCCATATAAAGGCAAGAAGTTTAAACTCACCTTCTATTTTTCCCTTCCAAACGGTGCTGATAGTTCCTCTCCTGGGCGTCTCTGTATAACCACCTGCTCTTATCTTCCAGGTTTATATACTGCAAGAGGACGTCCCAAATCCTCAGGTGGACCTGTTTTACCCCCCAGACCAGTCATCTCATTACTCTCAACCCATTAGACACAGGGCCCTTCTTCGACGGGCAAGTAAACGAGCCGAGCGTTTGTTCATTTGAAAGGTGGAAAGACGCAGTTCATGCGTGATGCCTGCTTGTACTTAGGTGTTAAGATCAAACAACTGCTGCTCATCCTGTCAAACAGACAGTCAGGGAGATGCTCTAATGTGCTACTGTGTCATCACAATGAGGAGCGATTGCTACGCTGCTGTATTTGGACAATGAGTCAGTATTAGAGGCTTCTTTCCAATCAGATGCAGAGAATTGGAAATATTGATCAGTTTTTGCATCAGCGGCAGTGAGGTTTACAACTCGGACGCTCAATAACGTTCCGTAAACGGCTCATATTCCCTTTTCTCTTCATCAGTTAGAAATGAAAGTAAATGTAACTTTAATTTTTTCTGGTAAAGCACTTTATTAAACTGTGAAAAAGTTATCAAAAAGCAAGACCTTTAAAAGCGCAAATAGCTGCTTCATGTCAAAAAAAGCAAAAGTTAATGGAAACGCAACACAGAAGGATTTATTTCTTTTTCATTAATTAAATGCATTTTATTGGTAGTGCTTGGTAGACTTTTTTATATATATACTTCATAGTATTTTATTATTTTATGATGGATCAAAGCAAAGTGGTGCATTAGATATTTTTTCCTACATTTTTCACCATTAAAAAAATTTGGGGATGTTTGTATTGTTACATCAAATAATAACAGGATAATTATCTCAGTCACTGCTCTGGGTTTTAGGTCAGGGCGCCAGTCAAGCTCAAATCAAACTCCAGAAATCTATCCCCAGCAGCTCTCCAACAATTGTTCTTTAATTGATCTGGATGTCACATTAAAAGTATAAAGGAGGATGTTCTTTTTCCAGGTAAACCATCTAAATAATTGGTCCTCCTAATTGTCAATCATTCTGATGATATATTATAGATTTACGTAAGGCCGTCTTATGTGCTCATAACAAATTTTCACTTACATGGGGTGAGTGTGACATAGTAGAAAAATGGCAAATCTTCTTTTGCACAGTAAGCTTGTATAAGTGATGCAAACAGCAACTTCTAAAGTAGGGGTCACCAACGCGGTGCCCTCAGGCACCAAGGGGCCTTCAAGGACCACATGGGGTGCCCTCTTCGTCTTCTGAAAACAAAAGAACTCACTCAGTGGGTTAAGTTTAATTTTTTTTTATTCTGTTGCTCTTCTTTTTAATCATTTATGTATTATTTCATCATGTTAACTATTTCATCATATGTCAGTGGTTTCAAAATGACAATATTAAAAAGAAAATTAGAAATGAATAAAAGAATAAAATAAGAATAAAAATTAGTTTTTATGGATGAGATTTACTGTAGGTGAGCCCTTCCTATGACTCGGTAGCCATGAAGTCGCCCTCAGCCATAAAAAGGTTGGTGACCCCTGTTCTAAACAGAGCGTGCACCAGGACAGAAGGGCTCTTGCATGCATATGATAGGCGTTCCCTCTCGGAAGCGGGTACAGGGTTGTGCATGTGCACTTTTTTTTTTTTTTTTACGGGGAGTGGGCGGGTCTTTTAATAAAAAAAAAAACATTTTAATCCTCCACTGTACCTTTAAGTTTAAAAGTCTGCAGCAGTTAATGCTAAATTGGTGTCCTCTGTGTACTAGTAGCCTCCAATCCCTTGTCCACGCTCTACCAGTTTACATATCCTAAAACATATTGGCTGACCTGATCTTGTTGCGTATCTCCTCCACTTTGAGTAATATTTATAAATGAGAAATTTTAAGAACTGGATTTGTTTCACTGTTGTTCTCCCATCATGGCGCCACATTGAATTGTGACCAGTTCTTTTAAAAAATGCTTTTTTTTTGTCAAAACAATCTGCATTTAAACACCTGGGTTATAAGCCTTATATTGGTTTCATTTAGTGGTGCTGAGCCAGGGGACCATATAATAAATAATAATACAAAAAATATGACAAGTATCTTACAAAAGAATGATAAAATAATTACTTTTTTATTAAAACATATAAGAAAAAAATCAGTAACCTTATTTCAGAAATAAATTCGGTTCAGTTTTCATCATTTAATAAATGTATGTTATTTTACAAGGTAAAATACTATACATTTTAATATACAAGATAAACAGAATGCATTACATTATCTCTAAATATTGTATATATAATATATAATGTTAGATGCAAATGATTTTTTCCGATTTCATGGTGCTTTTCTCATTTTCTTGGTTGAAACATTGCTTCATATGTTACGACAACTCATTGGCCATCCACAATAAACAACCTTAGCACTGAGTAAATCAACTAAATAAACACAAATAAGTATAAAATCCTCCCCATGTTGGAGCTTGATTAAAACATCAATGTTTTAAAGAAGTCGGTTCCAACAAGCTTATATCAGCTCCAGTAGCTCTGTCCTTACAAACGATATTTAACTTCCTGTAAGCAAGGAAAGTGTGAGATCCTTCTTTTAGCCTGCAAACCGCTATTACCCAGCAACAGGTGGAGGAGGGGCAACACTGTTAAACTGCGTGTTTCAGTCTTGCACTTTGTTAACATCTGATTTGACTTCAAATCCTTGGAAAATCACAGACATATTTACCTGCTAAGTTGCCTAATTTAGGGACCAATATAGGGGATGTAGTTTACAACATAGACCTTTCATTAATTTTTAATCAGTTCTACATTTTAACTTTAAATAAAATATAGATAAGGCACATATGAATTTGACACAGAACTTAAATGATGAGCTTTTTTCCACTGGTGACTCAGATGATTTACCAAATGTGGGCAAATATGAGGTGAGGCTTGTATTTTGATTGTATACAAGGACAAAACGAGTGTCAGAATCAAAGAAAACTGATAAAATATCTCTTTCTGTTTGTGGCATTTTCAAGTTTGTTTTATCTTTAAGAAAATATGAAAAAATAAATCACATTTAAAATTACTGCCACAAAATTGAAAAACATTTAAGGTTGCACAATCCCTGCTTATTATCCAGTCTTAGATTAATGCAAGGCCTCTTTGGCACATAATAAGGAGGTATAAGTTAGAGCAATTCTAACAGTATCTTTTTCACATGAGAAAATAATTAAATATAGATTATTTTATTCAAAGCATGTATTTAGGAACTTGGACATGTGATTGTAGACGTGCATATTTGCTGAGCCTCCCAGTCCGTGGTCTTTGTCCGTGTACCACTGAAAGAGGTACATAAAAAGGAAAATAAGCATACATGGCAATAAAGTTCCCTGAATCATCATTTGCATTTTCAGTGTTACTCACCATGGCCTCAAAGTCAACCTGCTCCTCGACCAAAGCTTCTGAGATCTCAGCAGCCTGCTGGAAGTGAACATTATCTAGAAGGAAACAAGGCAAAACTTAATGAGTGAAGTTACTAGGCACCCGACTCCAGAGCTGATCGCCATCCTTCCATGATGATAAGCCTTGGTCTGTTACTCGCTGCTCACGTTTTCCATTAAACTGTTCCAACTGTAAACAAGAAATTAACTACAAAATAAGAATAATAATACATTTTATTTAACAGCACCTTTCTGGCTACTCAAGGTCTCTTTAAAAAAAAATACAAAAAATAAATAAAAAGAAAGATGAAAATACAAAAATACAAATACAGGAACATAAAAACAATTATGCAAGAGTGACTTCATTCTTCCCTAATGCCACCTGGTGCTTTACACATGCAGGTCAGCGGGCTTAACAGCATTAACGCCTCAATACCATAAAAACAGTCTTTTTTCACTCAAGGTTACCATGCCATAAAAATCTCGACGATAATGCCTGTCTAATCTGCTTGATCACAAGAGTTCAGACCCTGCTACCCTACCTCAACCTGCAATTACTTATTTCGACATATGTCTCAGGTCGTATATGACATTAAAATAAAAAACATTTTTGAAAATGGTACAGGAATCTAGTAGAGATCATTACACACCGAAAGGAAATCCATAACAACATGAGCTGAAAAGCCGCTCACTAAGGAGGAAGCCATTTTTTTTTATTAAAGCAACATCAGACAGATAAAGATGAGTAATTAGAAACCTTATTGAATAGGAACATATCCTGATGTCTGAGGATATTTAGATAGATTGCTAGCATATAATGGGCTAAAAATGCAGCAAGTTTTTAAAAAGGCAATCCTATGTTTAGTTACCATGAGTCTAAAACAGTTTTTTGAAATAAATTGTTTCATATAAAAGAAAAAAAATGTGTTTAATACTAGTCCGCCATAGAGTTGCAGTGGATCTATGCTTCTAGGGCTAACAAGCTGCGAGACTTTTCCCATCCACACTGCAGTAAACATGGTGACCATGATGACGAAGGTGCAAAAACTTTCTTTTAAATCAAGCGGGGGTACTAATAAAAGTTTAGGAACCACTGGCCTAGCATACGACATGTGAAAGCTGCTATACCAGCAGAAAACTGCATGACCTAAAAGCATAGTGGTAGTGATGAATGGCGATGTTAACTTAGATTAGATTAGATAAAGCTTTATTGATCTGACCTTGGAGAAATTCACTTGTGACATTGGCTCTTATAAATAAACAGAAGGTGCACAGAGGAGGAAAATGTGCATGAAGTATATACAATGGATGGGATTTAAACAGTATGTAAAGTAAAGTGGTGACATGTAAAGTGCGGCTTCTGGTTTGCTAAATAGTATAAGTGAGGAAACTGAAATAGTCGAAGGCCCTCATAGTACAGGATCATTGAACAAATCAAATAGTTATTGCATAGTGCATCTGTGAACATCACGTTTTGCTAGTCATCCTTTCATGAACACAATGCTCACATCACGGCTGCTTCCAGCAGGAGGCTGTACCATAGCATGAAGCCAAAATAAATTTAATTCAGTTTATTTATATAGCGCAATTCACCACACATGTCATCTCAAGGCAATTTACAATTCAACTAGATCAGAAAGTCAAATTGATTCAAAGTTTTCTGTCTGATTGCATCGACTCATTGATTTGAAGGCAATTCCTCACACTAAGCATGCTTGTAGCGACAGTGGAGAGGAACAACTTCCTTTTAACAGGAAGAAACCTCCAGCAGAACCAGGCTCAGCGTGAGCGGCCATCTTTCGAGGCCGACTGGGGTTCAAAGAGACAGAAGCAGAATCGAGTCAAATCATCTCAAACATGAAGTTTCCTGCTCCGACGGCCTTCATAGTCAGTATATTTAAGTCCATCAGAGTATCAAAATGATCAATAATGGGCGACAGTGGCGTTGGATGTAGGAGTTTGCCCTGAAATCGAAGGATTGACGGTTCAAGCCCCGGCTCTGACTTTTTATTGTCATTGTGTCCTTGGGCAAGACACTTCACCTGCATTGTCTACTGATGGTGGTCAGAGGGCCCGGTGGCGCCAGTGTACGGCAGCCCCGCTTCTGTCAGTGAGCCCCAGGGCAGCTGTGGCTACAATGTAGCTTGCCACCATCACTGTGTGTGAGATGGGTGAATGAATGTAGTGTAAAGCGCTTTGGTGAAGTCTCCTGACTTGAAAAAAGGCGCTATATAAGTACATGCCATTTACCAATAATGTGCAGCTGATAAGCTATCATAACAAAATTCACAAAATTTTATAGAAATATTTCAGACTCATTATCAAAGTTATGCTACCAAGACTTAAGATAGCTTTGAAGGCAAAAGATGCTGCAACCGTCCACATAAAGGGTGTACCTAATAAAGAGGCCGGTGAGACTATATTTATGGAGCAATTCCTTCTTGTATATACGGAAAATACTTTGGTTTGACATGACTTCGTAGTTGTCAACTCCTACTTTCCGAGAAATTTCTACATCCTCCTTTAGGTTCAGTTTCATCCTTCGGTGATACAAAAAAAAAATTTATGAGTTGATAATGTTTCTGTAAATCAAGGGAAAACTTTCAAATGAGAAAATCTCAGTAATAAATAAAACCAAAAAAAACCTACCGTCAGCTGTTCCATGAACCAGAAGATACTGTACTGATTGGAAGTTCTTGGCTCTGGCTGTTACTGTGGAGTTCTTTGCACAGACAGATTTATGGTTAGGATACAAGATAACTTGACCATATAACAGATACATATTTCTGATAGTGAAGCTTACATCATAGGCATCTCTATTCTCTGAGGGCTGCCTCATATAACGCTCTGTGTAGATGGAGTCTGGAATAAATGGATGGATACAGGTCTTATAATGTGCCACTATTACAAGGACTGGATTAGGGCAAATATCAACACCAAGAAAATACCATAATATTCCCATTTGGATACAGGAGCCACTGCCATTCCACATTTGAAAACTCCGCTGCCAGAACCCAGGACCATTGAAGATACATACCCACCATAGGACTGTGGAAGATAAGACCTCTCATTATATCACCTCATCGGTACTATAAAAAAAGACTGACGTCAAAGTGGAACATTAACTTATTTTTAGAGCAACAACTTGGCCTTTGAACTTCAAACAGTATACATCCACAGGCGCATATTATTACATAGGCCTTATTTTTGGCTACTTACCCATCCCCATATAGCAATCCTTGTTTCGTCAATAAAGCCCATTTTTATGAACTCCCTCAGAAAAAAAAAAAAACGATAAAAGAAAGGAAATTAGATCAAAGTAGTCAACAGAATGGCCTTATTGTCTTATCAAGGTTTCTCGTGTAAAGGTAGATGTTTGCGACTTGTTTAAACCGCCAATCTTCTTACTTAGTCGCTCTTATCTGATCTTCCACCTCATAGGTTCCCAGCCGTTGGTAGATTTCATGCATCAGCTGGTCGCCCTGGTAACCGCTTCCTCTTCCGTCAAAGCTGGCAACAATGACTTTCTGAGTGCTTGCCAGGTAGGTGGACCAGCCCACCCTGTACCTCATGTCTACTTTCTGACTGCAGGGACCGGCATACCTGCAAGATTTAATGTTAGTGTTGTGTGTGTATATATATATATATATATATATATATATATATATATATATATATATATATATATATATACACACGTGTGGTGGGCATATATTTTCTAATCTAGATAAATCTTACTGTAATCGTGGATTTAATCTACATTAATCTAGATTTAAATTGCTCATTTATATTCTGCCAAAGTCATTAACATATCACACATAATTCTGTCTTCTTATTTAAGATTATGACAAAGTTATAAATACTTTTTTGCTCAATTGTTACTGTGTTTTTGCTGCAAAAAAAGTGTCCCACATTAACAATATAGTGTCTCCAGACATCTGACAAACACGTTGCCTCGATCAACTTCTCATCTTTCGCGGCTTTCTCCGCGGCCTGCCTGTCATATATTCTCCACATGATAGTTCGCCTCGCAGGTAGCTTGTAAGATGGGTCACCTGTGGCCTCCTGGAGAGGGAGGGGCTGGCAGCTTGTAGCCTCGTGAGACCATCCTGATCTTGCGAGCTTTCAAGATATCACTCGCTAATCAGTCTGGAGACTCTCCGTTGAAGAAGATTTGGAGCCGTTCACCAAACGAACGTCCAATCAGCGTTGGCTTTGAGGCGGGTTAAGGTGTGACGCAACGAGAAGCGCGACAGTTCAGTCTAAAGAACATGGCGGCTTCAGCCGATGAAACTAGCGTTAGCGTGGCTATGGAGCAAGTTTTATCGGAATTACAGAGTATTTCTTCACTGAAAGAAGAGCAAAAAACTGCTCTGGAGGCTTTTCTCAGAGGAAAAGATGTTTTTGCTCTTCTCCCGACTGGTTTCGGCAAGAGTTTGATCTATCAATTGGCTCCTCTTCGTCGTCGCTCTGTTACATCATATGCTTCGTTGATCTGATTGGTTTATTTGGCCCATCTATCACCAACATAGGCCAATCAGCTAACCAGTATTTTCGCCCCTTCCCAAAATTACTTCAAGGGAAGGTTTCCAGATGGATATGTGGAGCAAATCCATCTGGCGGAGTTAGGTTAGGCAGCTTGTGGCTATCCACGGAGCGAGGGGATTGGCTAGTTGGCTGATAGAGCTGAGCCTAGGCAGACTGATTCATTCTCGCCCCCAAAAATAGATCCGCGCTAAACTATTAAGGTGAAAGTCATCATCATTATAGACCCAGCTCCCAACCCAGCTGTGAGAACAGATTAACGGCGATATTTTTTTTATCACCCAATATGAGTCTGGCACTAATGCCAATAATGTCCCACCACTAATATATGTGTATATATGTGTGCATGATTGTGTTAGTTTTCCCAGTAGATACTTACACGTCTATTAGCAGAGGATACCTCTCGGACTCATCAAAGTCTGGGGGTAAATACATCTGATACCAAAGATCTGTCAATAAAAACAAGTTTTTCATCAGATAAGAACAATTTAGACCTAACGGTTCATATCTTTATTTATTTTTAGCTTTTTATGAAATCTGACGGCTTTTCATTTGGCCGTTCTATGTCTCCTATGTCCTGATAGACTGTCACTATGTAGACTGCATGGAAATAGACATTTCACCCACAGGCAATAATTAGAGAGCTTAATAGTTAAAAGCCTAAACTGTACAGTCTTTAGTTTAAAAAAAAAAACCTTAATTTACTTGTTTTTTTAAGTTTACTGTCTGGCAATGTGGCAATAATTGTCTTGATGCCAAAAAGAGCCCAACAGATTTTACTTTCACAAGTGGAGCAGTACGGCTATCGCCATAGTGTTCCGCTTAATGCATATAAAATAGTTTTATTATAATTATGCAGGGAGTTTTATAGATTATATGGACACTGCAATGTAAGTTGAACAGGAAAGGAAAAACAGAAAAAAAGGAAAAAGGATTAAAGAAAAAAGGGGATAAAAGGGAGATAATGATAAAACATCTTCAGTCTGCTTCATCATCTGCAAACAGTGTGTAAACAAAAAGCACAACCAACGGATATAGTTAAAGAGATACAATAAAGTACCACCTAAGTGGTATTATTTAATCAGACATGTATACTGTGGTAGCTGAAGACAAGAATACGGATAAGAATAAGTACCTGGAGCCAAGCACCACTTGTTTTTTTAAATTAAATAAAAACGATATTTTTGTGGCAGATCCATAATATTTACACAAGTGAGTTTTATTCTAAATGATAACCAGTTGTAGAGAAATGAACTTACTATAATTATTGAGCTTAATGGTCCCTCGACGAACAGTAGGCATTGAGAGTTGGGATATTTCACCTTCAAATGCCTTGTTCTCTTCCAAAGTCTTCATTGCTAAAAATAAAAATATATAAAATACAGATTTTCTCTCTTTTCATGTAGTTTGATGATAAATTATGTCAACTCTAGCTTACGTTTATTACTCTTCGTATCTATAAGCGAATAATACGGGATTCTGGGACCTTTAAAGGGGAAAAAAAGCCTTTATTAGATTTGAAACAGATACAGAAAGCAGTAACATTTTCAAAACTGACCACTGCAGCTGAAACGGTAGTAGGAGGCATTGTGGCTCAGGTACGCTGAGTTATATTCACAGTCTGATAGAAGGGAGCAGGTTAGACACCTGGAGCCTTGGTTTGACCACCTGACACACAGAGACACACATCAGTTTCAGTCTTCTTAGGAAAAACAACCCTTTCTAAAGGTGCGAAATCCAAATTCTTACACGTAGACATTCCTTCCTCCAGGCTTGTTGTCTTTTTCATTACTTGAATAATACCTAAAGAGAAAATGGAATTCAGATTGGTGCAAAGTAAGAATCTATCAGTGTATATTTCTGTATAAGAAATATACAGAAAATTAAAATTTGACTGCGAAAATTTAAATTAACTCCTATAAAAAAATGAATATCGAGGCACCAGGGAACCACTTCAAACATGGCTGAAGCCTTGACATGATGTCATAATATGAACTAGGATTTAAAATGCTTTGCTCCGTCTTGGTCGGGTCCTTCAGGGTAACAGAGTTTCCTCTTCTCACTTTACAGAGCATGAAACATCCTTGTTATATTTGAAAGGGCTCCAAACTACGGAGGCAGTGGCAGTGTTGTGATAGTGGGGCGTTCTGCATCCTGATGATATACGATAACTACATCAGTGTAGGCGGGGTGGACTGATGGAAAATCCTAGCTGGATTTTTTCAGGCCAAAAAGGGGAAACTCAGGAATCACAGAGATAGCGTTAGAGATTTTCTTTTTTTTTTTGTTGCAAGAACTCAAAGTTATTTTCTTTTCACTTGATGCCTTTTCCTAAATTTGCACAAACAATCAAAGCACTTTTATTAAGTTCTGTAAATTGGAAAAAATTAGCATTATATTATAACTGAAGATGCCAGAGTGGACTGGGGTGAGAGCTAACATGGCGTAATTTTAGCCACAGAGGCTATTTCACAGAAATACTATAGAAAAAAGAGATGCGGGAGAGTAGCTCTAGCTTCCTTTAGTAATTTGGGTCTTAACTGAACCCGAATTATTGAAACCTCTCATGTTAAGGTAAGCCCTTTGCTGAGGGGCTTGCCAGAGCTTGATCTTGTTATGCAGAAAACGGCACCTGATGGCTGTTTGTTATTCACCATTAGTGTTGCTTTTTATGCCCCCTGCACACAGGGGGACTTGTATTTGTTGATTTTTTTAATACGGAATTTGAATAATAATAACTGAACTTTATTGATCTCACATTGGGGAAATTATCTTCTGCATTTAACCCATCCCTTGGGGAGCAGTGGACTGCCATTGTGTGGCGCCCTGGGAGCAGTATGGGGTAAAGGCTGATTAATACTTCGAAACTAGGTTTCGAGGTGCAGACACTCTGCTGCACCTCTCCCAAATTGTAGGTGACCGCAGAAAGGAGGCCTCTGATTGGTCAAATCTAAATCCGCTCTACTCTATGCGTATTTCCTGTTTGGTACCTTACCGACTTGTTTTGTTTGTATGACCGCCATTGTGGAAAACGACTCGTTAAGTTGGACCTGTCACTACCCCATCCGTCCAGGAAGCACGATCCGTTCTGTTCATGCGCCATCAGCTCATTTGCGCATCCAAATACACATAAAGGTCACCCTCAATTTTATTTTGTTAAAAGACCTAAATGAAGTACTAAACTATTATGTTTTAAAGGTTAATAATGTATTTCCTGAGAAAATAAATGCCTTAAAATCCTGTTTTATAAGTCGTCTCTGCCTGATATGCACTGGAAATCCTTCGCTACTTATGGGAGCTAACTTTTTCGGCTTTGGATTTAAACATAAATCTAGTGTTTTTGAGTTTTATTTTTTAGTTTAGTTTTAACCTTATGCTATATAGAAATCAAAAGAAACAACAAAAATGCAGATAAACATGGTTTAATCATATTTTGCAGGACTGCTCTGACTATGTTTCGTGATAACATCAGAGAAGCAGTTTAACGAAGAAAATGTAAAAACATCAAAATTGTCTCACAAAAGTCATAAAACATTTTTTAAAGATGTGTATTAGCATTCTTTAGTGAGTTAAAGAATAATTTTAGTACCATAATTACATTCTTTATGGACACCCGGATGTATATCTGCTCGAGGATGCGCAGGACGGATCGTGTAGTGACAGGACCAGCTAAAAGAGCGAGGTGTGAGAACGCTGGGACCCTTTTTCCACCTGGATCCATGCTCTTTTTTCGCCCTCATGTCCCTCCGTTTTCAGCAGTCACAAACAGCTAGTTCGTGATTGTCCTTCTTGCGTTGTGGCGTGGAATATAACATAACGCAGACCACGCCTCAAAATTGAGCATAAATCAAAAATGTCTGCATCAAACCTGCGACAAGCTCTCTGCGACTCACTGCTGCGGGAGTATAACCAGCCTTTTAAGGGTCCTGCTCAGGTAGTTGAACTCAGAACCTCCAGAACCCTAGCACAATGCTCTAACCACTAGGCCGCCACTCCCCCGGATTTTCAAACTTAGAAGGAAACAAACTCTACTGGATAGCCAGGAACTTTATGTAAAGTCCTCTCTAAATATAACAGTATATTGTGCAAGAACTGTAGGCAGTTCCTTTTTGCAAGAACTAATTTTGGTGAATTTTATGCAGCACTAAAAAGTCTGGGAACTTGAAAACAGACATTGGTTGTGAAAATAGGACCAGATGGTTAGTTATCCGCTGACCTTTTGTCTAGATCTAGCCACACCAACAGGTGATGGTTGATAACTGGTTAGATATTTTTTTTATGTATGAAGTCTAGAAACTTCTATACAAGTTGAGGGACACTTACACACTATCTGCAGTGACTTTGAGAATATCAATGGCCTCCCAGTTTCCAGATGTGATGGCTGTAGCCTCTCCCTGCATGTTAAACCAAAGCAGATCAGTGTTCATATCAGAGAATCTAAAAAACAAGCATTGCTTTTGATTTTGCCTCATTGTTTACTCCACATTCTCACTTCTGTACAACCGTTCTGCTCACCTTATCCACATGATGGATGTGCTTGTACTTTGCACTGTCACTCATGATCAGGTAGTAACTATTTCCATCGGGGGCAAAAACCGGCTCTGATGGAGAGAACTACAGAAAGAAACCAGTAATTAAAAAACTCAATTTAAGTTAGATTTTTATGTGTGCATTGCTCCCTGTAAAAGGCTTTAATTCACCCGTACCGTAACTTGATAACACAGAGAAATTGCGTATGTTTTAAATGACCTATGGTTAAAATGAATCGCCTTGGTCTTACTGAAAAAGTTATAGTTTAGAGAAAATAATAAATACATTTTACCAAAGGGAGTGAACATACCCGCCCAATCCAGCCAGTGCTTGTCAGCTCCAGGTCCTACAACAAGATAACAGCAGGTTTATGAACACAATAAGTCACATTTCATAAAAATGCACCATATTACATCAGCTGCTCTAAGCAGAGAGACTGAGCATGTAGAAAACATTTTTTAAAAGCTTAAAAGTTACTGTGTTACTTTTAAATCATAACCCTGTGAATCCTCACAGATAATTTAGGGCTGAAAAGATGAATCGGACTGATAAAGTACTGCCCTGGTCCTCGAGGCGAGGCCCTGCATTATTCCGATGTTTCTCTGCTTCAACACTCCTGATCCAGATGTCTGCAGTCCAGGAAAGCCTGATAATCTGCTATCGATATCAGCTGTGTTGGAGCTGGGAAACTAAAACATGCAGGGTAGTCTGCCTTAAAGACCAAGGTTGAAAAACACTGAGCTAAATTTATGGTACACAGACCCTACAACAGGGCAATCTGCTGAAAGAAAAAATACAAGAAAATTTTTATTTTTAATATTAGGCCTGTAACTAATGATTATTTTGCATATCGATTAATCTGTCTATTATTTTTTCAATTAATCGATTAATAATCAGATAGCAAAACGTTCCTTAAAGAAGATTTTTAACTAAATTAAACTAGGTGATACTAAAACTTTTCCACATAGGGAGTTCTGGAATGAGTATATTGACAGACCAAAAAAGTTTTTTAAATCTTAAATTTAAAATGTTTATGTATTTTTTTTTTACAATTTTTTTTATTATAATAAAAACTATAATTTTTTTTTTTATAATTTTTTTGTAAAAGCATGTTTTAGAGTCTCTATACTCCAGTTAATGATTAATTGATTGCTAAATTAGTTGACAATTATTTAAATAATCGATTAATCACAATTAATTGTTTTAGCCCATATATATATATATATATATATATATATATATATATATATATATATATTTACAGTTAATTATGCGTAATAAGAGGTTCTTTATTTTTGAATTACAAATGTTGATTTAATTAGTGATGTTAATTTACCAGAAGTTTTTTTCTTAGATTAATAAAAAAAATAATCAATAGATTCATTAATTACTAAAAGAATTAATAGCTGTAACCCTACATTGATTGTTACACATATTAAAAATATATGATAAAAAAAACAAGGGGACAGAACAGTTAGGTGTATAATATATCAAACTTAAAATCCAAAACTGTACAGAGAGGAAAACAGAAGCATCAGACCTGTTTGCGCTGTAAGTTTAAATGAGACAGGAAGGCACTTGAATGAAACCAACATGTAAAACTAGCTGCTCATCATTCTGAGTACATCTGCTCATATTCAAACATGGTAGTGGCAGCACCATGCTGTGGGATGTTTGTCAAAAAGGCTAACTGAGGCCCACATAGATTATCTGGATTTGTATGTTGGGATTAAATTGGACACAATGGTTAATAAAAACCTTTGGGAGTCACCTAGTTAGTGAAAAATAAATGCTTTGAGTCCAAATCACACATTTTTTATTGATTTATATTTTGCTTATCTAATAATGACTCCTGCACACTGTCCAACTTGGAGGAGTCCTCTTTAAATGTTAATCTTTTTTTTTCTCTTATGCACCTGTCAAGTTATACATGTTAAATCTCTAAATATTTTAGCTCCAGCTGCACTTTTTGAATTCTCCAATCACTTTTAACCCTAAATAAAAAGTTTGCAAAAAAGGTAAGAGTTGATTTTTAAGGAGAATACTTTATGCTCCAGCTGCACATTTTTGAATTCTCCAATCACTTTTAACCCTAAATAAAAAGTTTGCAAAAAAGGTAAGAGTTGATTTTTAAGGAGAATACTTTATAGGTCTGTGCATATCTTTAAAAATTTACCTCGACGGGATTCCAGGCAGATCCGCTGAAGTCATAAATCTGAAGGATGAGGTGGTTCTGCAGTCTCTTCAGCCACTGAACAGCTATACGTGTATCAGTTACCCAGGTAACGGTTGCTAAGTAGTGGTCGCTGTTGATGGAAAAAGGCAAAATTAAATTAATGTTTAAGAGAATTTCTCAGGGGGAAACGATATGATTGAAGGTATTGTATTACATTGTTTTGAATGCAGCTGGAACAACAACTCCAGTGATTATTGTTGTGTTGTCAGTATCCACAACAAACAGTTTCACAACAGGGTTGGGAGTACCTGGCTGCAACAAAACAAGAAAAAACTATCAGATGGGCTGGAAAATGTTAAAATATGTCAGAGGACATGACAGTCAGAACAACGGTCCCACCTTAGGGTATGGAATGGAAATGGTGCTGGGGTACTGCCCATCGCCATAGAAGGAGTACTCAATATTGTGCACCGGAGTGTCATTGAACTCAGCATAGGCCAAATACTTCCCACCAGGTGACCACCAGAAACCCGCATTAGACGAGAACATCTCCTCTGGAAATGGCAAATCAAAAGTAAGTAAGTAGCTGCATGATTATATTTTTTTACTGTAATTATATTTCACTTAATGTGATGCTGCAGTATATTGATTTACATTTTATACTAAAGCTAGATTTCCTCAGAAGGAGAATAGGACTGTAGCAAAAAACCCTCATCTGGAAGAAATCAGGCTCAGAAAAAAAAGCCAGGAGTAAATGCCTGACCAAATTCTTCAAGGGAAAAAAAATACTGTTTTGACAGCAAGTTAGAAAAAGCTGCCAATGCGGTCATAGATAGGGAGGTTCCTCGTGGAAAAACTGAACATTGATATAGTTCCGTTACCCTCATACACCCAGTCTGGAATCCCGTTTAAGATCTTATTTGGCTCCCCGTTTGTAGTGAGCTGCTGCCTTGGGGACTCAGGGCTGGTCTTCAGATACACGTTGTTGTCCCAAACATATGCCTGCAAAATGAAAACATCGTAAATCAAAAAAAAAATGAACATGAAGATAAAAAGCATATTTCTTAGCGGTAGTCGCTGATATTAACTTTAAGAAAAGGCATATGGACATTTTTAACAGTGATGCACATCAAACTAAAACATTTTAACAGATAAAAAAGTGATCTCTTATTCATGATGGAATATTTATATCTGTTCTCTATTTATTTCACTCAATAGTGGCCAAGATAGAGAACTAGTGCTGTGTTTAAAACTGAAATGCATTTTGAAATGACGTCGGAGCAAAGCAGCGAGGTGCAGGTAATTAATGGCACATTTTACAAAGAAGATTGTGGCCATCTCTATAACAGCAGGACTTCTAGCAGATGTTTGAACACAAAGGCCAGAAAGATGCTTCTGGCAAGAAACAGATGGTGTTTCTCCTTAAGCTGCTGCTATAAGGCAAAGCAGCCGGGGATCCATCACTCTACATTCAGCCTGATATCTGAGATCGGATCAAAGCGGAGACGGTGGGATCACATTGTGATTTTAGGCCATCAAAGATCCGGCCAATGCTCTCATTCCAACCAATCCGATCCGATCTGGAAAGGAGACGATACAAGGGGAGCTTTCCATCTGCTCCTTCAGCTCCACACAGAATTTCTAACCTAATTCTAGTCCTGTAGGAACATATAGTCCAAAACCTCTGGGACCATACCCAGGGGTGGATTTAGGAAATTTGGGGCCCCAGGCGAAGACAGGCAGGGGGCCCTCTGAATTCAGAAGACAACACATTAAAACAGACCGATTATACAGATATATACATTTTAATAGAATATACTATACATTATTTGTTCTACAATTTTTCTTGCCCCTTTTCTTGTTGTTTTCCCCTCTATTTTTTTTTTACTCGGCTGACTTTTCATGCTGTCTCGAAAGGAATGAAAGATTTTTTCAAATCACTAAGCTCACTTAGCTGATTGCTCCTTCCTGTGTTTCCAAAAAGGCGACGGCAAAAGTAAATAACTCTGTCCTTCTTTTCGCTCCATCAAGCCATGATCTGCTTATCTGTTCTCAGTTTTTCATTTGTATGAAATAATAGCTGCATGAATCATGACCGCAGACAAGATAGAGGAGAGCAGGAGGCGGGGTTACTAATATACTTGCTCTGGAGAGCAGAGTTCGCTTCTTTTATATGTTGTTCCCAAAGTCTTCACTAGCAGAAAAAAGTCACTAGATTTGGCGCTTTTTTGTAAGGAAAGTGCTAGAGGGGTCTGAAAAGTCACAAAATATAGCGACAAAAGCGTTAAGTTGGCAACACTGCTCTTTACATAGTTGTTTTTTTAATGGTTTGCTGCTGTCAGTTTTGGACCTTTCTGAACATGTGCAGCACATGGTCTGATCCAATGTGGTGGACACTGAAGGGGGGGGCTGAGACACACTTAATATTATAAGCGTTCTGATGGCATTTTATCGAAATATAAAAAATATGCACAAATAGCTGAATTAACCATATATGTAAAAGGAGTTTTATGGGGCCCCCATGAACTTGGGGCCCTGGGCAACTTCCTAGTTTGGCCTAATGGTAAATCTGCCCCTGACCATGCCTCAGGTAGCCCTGCTGCTTCTAAAAAGAAGCGAGAGTTTAGAAATAATGCTCTTTAGCCAGATGAGACACTTGGCAAGTATGCAGGGTATATTTGATGGAAAGAAAAATGCATGAAAACATGTGTTACATACAAAACGGCCACGGAGTTGTTTCTGCAAAGGGGATTCTAAAAACTACTCAGAGGGTGTACTTAGTCTTCAGACACAGCTTTTCTATTTAGGCTTTCTTTCTTCCATGACTTTTTTAAAAAAAACTTGTCTTCTGCAGGCTTACCAGTTTGTTCCCAGTAGGAGCCCAAGCAAAGTACTGGACTATATCTGGAATATCAGCGGGGCTGACATCTTTGCTGGAAGAGATGTGAATCAGTTCTTTTTATAATTGTAAAAGTAAAGTTAAAAAAAGATCAAATTTTGAAATATCTGTGTTTAAGATTTCATTGCATTTGCAGCAATTTTGCAGCACATTCCTGGTAGCGTTTAAGTTTTAAAACGAATATTGAAATAGATGACTTACTTTGAATCTCGATCATAGAGGCTATAAGAAGCTGTGAATGAATGTCTCCACACCTGATGGATGAAACAAAATAAAGGGGTTAAAATCCATAAAGGCGTCATGTTTGACACTAAACAGGGCAGAAAAGCTTGCCGTACCTTGTTATAGTTGCTCATGAAAGCGACATATCTGCGGTCAGCAGACAGCATGTAGTCATAGGCGTGCCGTGCTATCTGCATTGTCCAAAGAAATATTAGGTACCCATGCCATTTTCTTTTAGATTAACTTTATTTATTCTGACATTTAATGGGTAAAAATTAGTAGTTTGAGAAGAATGACTTACAAACAAGTCTCTGTTCAGAAATTCTTTAACATCACTTGTCTTCACGTCGTAGAGGGAGACAGAGTCGTCGGATTCTCTGTGCAAATACTCAGAATCTGTTGTGGAGGATCAGAGAAATGGATGGAGAATCAGCCAGAGGAGTTACAGAGAAAAAAAACTTTATAGAAATGAGCTGTGCATGACTCACAATGAGCTAATGGTGCATGTGCTGTTTTTGCAGTACTCAATAAATTCAATGCCTTACAAATGGTTACACACACCCTTACATTTCACTATGTTTAAAAAGGAGAATGCATATAATATGTGTTTGTGTTGGACCCTACTGAATCAAAACCTTGAAGAAACATCAACTCTTGCAGTTTTTAACTGGCTTGGACTAGATTGAAATAGTTTATATGCCTTGATGTTGGTTTCCAGTAGGATTATATCTGAATTAGACCTGCAAGTCGATAGAAACCAGTTAACTAATAGGTTTGCTTATGTCAGTCTGTCAGCTCTTTAAGGATCGTCCATTATGGGCGAGCTTTGGTGGTGCATTGGTTAGCGAGCACAACCCATGAACAGAGGCCTTAGTTCTCAACCTGACTAACCCTGCTTCGCATCTGACCTGTGGTCCCTTGCCGCATGTCTCTCCCCCTCTCTCATACCCCATTTCCTATCAGCCTACTGTCAAAAAAACGGACCACTAGTCCCGTAAAAACAAGACAAAAAACTGAAAAAAAAGGATCATCCATTATTTATCTTGATCTGCCACTAATTTCAATCTTTTCTCCCTGCACGTTGATCTTTTTCACAATATTTTAATTATAGCATCCTATTCTTGTAATTTTAATATTTTTTTTTGCACTTTGTTTGGCAAAAAGATCACAACTAACACATCTCAATCAAGTACATTTTCCTTTTTGAAAGAACAATAAACACCCTTCACATACAAACAAAAAACTTAATACAAGACTTATTAAAATAGTTAAATAACTTAAATAGACGTAGCCACAGCCTCAGTATGTCCATTTTAAGCATTGGGGTCTGGAACTGTCCACCTTCCTTTTCTCTACTGAAAGAAACCATCCCCACAACATGATAGTGCCACCACCGTGTTTCCCTGTGGGGTCACTGTGTTCAGTGTAAGGTACAGGGTTAGTTTACACTACTAAAAATACAAGAAGGTATTTTCAATACCTTCCCCCTCATGTTAGCTGTGTCCCGTACATGTTTTGGATACATTTTGAAATTCACCAGATTAACCCCCAAAACACAATGGAACCATTTATGCTTCTGATCCGACAGATATTAAGATGTTTTGGCATGTGCAGCGATTAAAATACATTGAAATCCAATAACTGGATTTAAAGTAATTTAGTTACTCTAGATTCATTATAATGAAGAATTAATTGACTTTAGAAAAATATGAATAATTCGGGTTCAACGTTGCCTACTGCTTCATACCAATGATTTTATAAAGCTCTATCAAGACTAAAGTCATGGTCTTTAACTTGATATACTGCATATGACAACACTTGTAAAACAATTGAAAGGCAGATCAGATAAAGGTACAGGATTATAAAGTTCTTTAGAGAGTTTTACGGCTGTACAAGTACGTACACGCCTCAGTGTTATCAGTGGAATCATGTTCTGTTCACATGACGTGATTTAACCATTTCTCCCACCTGATATCCATTTCATGTTGTAGAACGCTGGTCTCAGTGAGGAGTTGAAGACGTCGGTCAGTGTGAACGTTTTTGTGATGGACGCCTCATCCTCTGAAACACAGTTTTAGTCAAAATAGCACTTATTAAGGACCTCTCGTTTTGTCTTAAAGCTGATTTGATTAGCCCTAACACACATCGTTAAGTGTCATCATTTCAGTCTCACCTCAGTGAGCGGCAATTTAAAGTAACTTGTATATATTTATGTATCACATTAGGGTTAATTAGAGAATTAGTTCTATAGTAATCTTGCATTTTTCCCATCATGGCGGAATAGCCAAAGAAGAAAAAACCCAAAACACCTGTAAATGGGAAGAGAGGAAGACATTTCTTTCCAGATATATCCTTGAACCAAATGTAGATTTGAGCATTTTCAGAATTTATTTCTATAATCAATGGAAATTTTTAACTATGTATTCCCCAGTGGTGTCAAAAGTACACACATTTGTTACTTCATTAGAAGTATAGATACTGCAGTTTAAAAACACTCTGGTAAAAGTTGAAGTATGTGAAAAAGTATGTGCTCCAAAAACTACTTAAAGAATAAAAATATAAAGTAACCTTTAAAAAAAAAACAGTCAGATGCCACTATATGAATTGAAAGCTCAATGTTTTAACTGTTTTGAAAAATTCTTTGAGATAGGGCCAAGGATAAGGGAGCTCTTGTTGGTCTCCATCTCTCGCCTGTGTCCGACCTTTCAGACATTTCAACATCTTTTTCTGAATCCAACATTGTAGCATGGCATAGACAATTCAGGTTAGCAGTTTGAAGAACACCAGCTTGCTTCTGATGATTTCCTTTAGCTAACCAATGAGTGTTTGCCTTATATGACTCATCCAATCACACTAGTTTTCACTAGATGTGGATGGCAGCAATGATCTGCATTGGATGGAGCACATGACGTGAAATAAATATTTAAAAAACATTAAACCGAAGCCAAGAGTAATGAGTAACATTTGTTTTAAAAATGTAAGGAATAGAAAGTAAAGATACTTGTGTGAAAATGTAATGAGTAGAAGTCAAAAGTAGGAAGAAAAATAAGTAATGGAGTCCTAAAAAGTGTACTTAAATACAGTAACAAAGTATTTGTACTTCGTTACTTGACACCTCTGATATTTTTAACATGCAATTCATTTTAAAATGCAAAAAACCCAAACAAAGCCACATCAGAAGTTATCCTCGTGGGAATTGATGCCATTTTATCCTGAGCTTTATGTGCTTCTAAATGCAGCTGCTGCAGAAGTTATTATTTTTATTCGGGAATCATGTAGGGTACGTGCTTAAAATATCTGTTTTGTAAGATGTGAGTTTCCACTCACAAGTTTCTTCTTATTAATATAATTTTCTGGTGAGTAATGTTGTGTTTTAAAAATGCAAGGAATAGAAAGTCTTGTGTGAAAATGTAATGAGTAGAAGTCAGAAGTAGGAAGAAAAATAAGTAATCGAGTATAGATACCTAAAAAGTGTACTTAAGTACAGTAACAAAGTATTTGTACTTGGTTACCTCTGGGAAATACTTTAAGTAGTTTTTGGAGCACATACTTTTTCACTTTTACTTGACTAAAGAGATCAAGTTGATACTTCAACTTTTACCAGAGTGTTTTTAAACTGCAGTATCTATACTTCTACTAAAGTAGCAAATGTTTGTACTTTTGACACCACTGGCAACAAAGTATTTGTACTTCGTTACTTGAAACCTCTGGTATTCCCTCAAACACTGGACATCCATGAGAGATTTTTAAAAATGTGTCCATGTTTTCCCCTCAAATCATTTTTACATAGTTGTCTTTGTGTTTATTACATAATTACAACACTTTAGACCCAGCATAATTTCTTCACGTTTTCTTGTTTTGCAGTGAAAATATCCTTGGATAAAACCGCATTCCTTCACAAAATGTTCTCACAAATCAAACTCCACAGAAATCGCGTTTCCTCTTGAGGAGAAACCAATATTTCTGCATTTGTGAGCCGAATATTTCCCTTTAAACTGCAAACATAGAGCCAATCGTGCGTAATGACGCGCGCCTCTCAGGCAGCGCCGCGCGCCGTTACAGGAGGAATAAGGGGAAACACGCACCTTTTAGAAATATTACCGTGGGGACCGCAATCAAAATGACCACCACGGCAACCCCTAGGACACCGAGCAGAACTTTGGAGACGGAAACCTGCCAAAAAATAAAAAAAGAGAGAGAGAGAAAAATCAGAGAAACGCCTTTGATGAGACAAAAAAAAGTAAAATATCCAAGTTGGAACAAATACTTACCATTTTTTCTGCGATTGTTACCCTTCCCAATCAAAACGCATCGATTTCCCCAAAGCTACGCACACAGGGAACTGTAAAGTAACGCGAAAGTCATGCTTTAGAGTTAAACATTATCCCAGCTGAAGTTTCAAAGGTGGGACAGTAAAATCTCCAGCGGTGTAAAGTTCTCCAGTGTTTGAGGAAATGGTTTCCCCAAACTGTCAACCCTGCAGCCGTCACAACACAGCAGCCTGCTGACCATGCGTTACTCCCCTGGAATTACTGATTAGTTTATGCTGACTGTAGAAAAACCTTCTTCAACTTATTTCAATGTCTAAATTGAAGCCTTTGTATTAATTTAAAGAAGTTATGTACATAAGTTTGCCTTAAAATGTGAAATCTTAGATTTTTTTTGAATATACATTATTTGATTAATTAAGATAGCCTAAAAAGGGCTTGCATTGAGCTAAAATATAAAAGATTATTATGAAAAAAATTAAATGAAAAAGGAAAAAAAAAAACACTGGAGCCACAGGGCCCTCTGACCAACAAACAGCAGGTGATGTGGGTCAAACGTGTAAACCCTTTATAGGACACTAAGTGAAATACTTTGAAAGTCTTTAGTTATTGGAATCCATGAGAAGACCCCATTACCTTTGCAACAATAAAAAAATATGGATATTTTGATCGCAAAAATCAATGTAGTAAGAAGAAACTTGCCCGAATATTTTAAGAAAATTAACAAGAAAAACACTGAGAGTAAAAAAAAAAGTCACCTTTTAGGCATTAATCCCGATACAGGCACTTACATTTTTTAGTTTATAAACCTAAATATGATTGTAAACTAGGCTTTAACTTTACTTTTTGACTTTTCAAATAGCTTTTTACCTTTTTTTCTTGACTTCAACTTAATTTACAGTAGGTAATATATCATTGAAGCACTCATCTAATTGGTAGAGTGCCAAAATAAGATGTACAGCCATGTAGCAGTATCTTTGCTAAATGACTGGATATAGATCTTATGCTTCTAGACCTCACTGAGGGACAGGGAGACTCCATTTGTAAGGGGTCTGCAAGTGATCAAAAACGCTAACTTGCCCTGTAAAGGGTTAAGGACACAACGGCTGAGACTGAAGGAATTGGCGCTCGAACCAACAACCCCTTGTTCACAGTACAGATTCCTAACTCCTGAGCCCATTGCTGCTTAAATTATGGATTTCATACATGACAGGTACAGACAAACATTTTATAGCTTCAGGATTATAGGAACTTAGAGATTATTATATAGATATTTCCCTGAACTTACAATCTACTCTCCAGAACTTTAAATGAACTCCTGAAATCTTTGGTAGCCCCTGTTTTATCAGGTATATTACAAGTCATATAGTATAGCTTCTGAAAGTACCCTGTAAATTCTGGAAAGTAACCTGTAAGTTCATATAAAGTTCCAGAAAGTAAAAGGCACATTATAGTATAATGATAATTCACACACTAATACAGACCAGCTTCTGAAAGTACCCTATAAGTTCTGGATACTAACCTGTAAGTTCCTGTAAAGTACCAAAAATTAGGGTGAATTATAGAATATTACAATTTATATACTAATACAGCCCAGCTTCTAAACATACCCTGTAAATTCTGGAAAGTAACCTGTAAAGTTCCAGAAAGTAAGAGGCACTTTATAATATAATTACAAGTCATGCACTAATACAGACCAGCTTGTGAAAGTACTCTATAAGTTCTCGATAGTAACCTGTAAGTTCCTGTAAAGTACCAAAAATTAGAGCAAATTATAATGCATTACAATTTATATACTAATACAGCCCCGTTCCAGAACGTACCCTGTACATTCTGGAAAGTAACCTGTAAGTTACTGTAAAGTTCCAGAAAGTCAGGGTATGTGAATGTTTTTTTAAAAAGTACCTGATAAATTCAATGGAGTTTCATGTATGTAACCATTGAGTACCATTGCAGTTCCAGTATCTTACATGAAGTTCTTGAAAGTATGCAGTATATTCCAAGAAATGTTCAAGATAAATGATATCTGATAAGTTCCATGGTAATTATACGGCTTAGAGGGGTTATCTGTGAAGGTTCCATGTTAGTTTTAACAAATGTCCTGAAAATAGCCTCTAAGCTCTGGGAAAGGATTATGTATTATGTAGTACTACTCGGGTATGTTAAGTTAAGAGTATAAGTAAAAAAATATCAGTGCTAAAGAAGCTGATAGTTACCCAACCTTATTAAGGGGAAATTTCAGAGAAATAAAAACGGTACAGAATAAATAATGGCACCATTAATCAGCATATTCTATTTAAAAAAAAGGACTTTGTTTACAAGTTTAAAGACTTTTTCGCTTCCCATTGAAGAAGATTTTTCAATTCAATATGTCTGGAATAGTGTTGAGTTCCAGTTTTTATACAGTAGCCCAACAAAGCCTTGTTTTTGTTTTGAAACCATGCAAATTGGACTCAACGCACATGACACTTTGAATCGAAAAAGCTTCTTGGATGGGAAGCGAAACCTCTTCAAACTTAGAAACAAAGTGGATTATGACTGAGAATCTTCACCTGCGTACTCTATATTTGCTTACTTTCAGTTTTGATGGTTAACCAGGAGATTGTGTTGCTAAAAATGACAAGAAACCATAGAATTTATCTTCTACTTGTGCATTTGTGTGAAAAAACAAAACAAAAACATACATGGATATAATATGTACACACCAACATTTAAACCACTACCAGGTAAAATGGGTTTAGCAGTCTATATTCACTCAGTAACCAAAGTGTTACTTCACTTTGACTAGTATAAACAACAACAAAGTTAGTATTTTATTTCCTAGTAGAGGAAAAAAATAGAAATAAAAAATAGAACCACTTATTCTTACTTTTTTGGCCATTTTTTGGCCTTTCAGTACCTTCTGTCAGTAAAAAACAAAGATATCCTTTTATCACAGATAGCTCTATTATCACAGCTGACACTGCATTGCTGCCAGGCTGCAATATGCAGTAGAGCACAGTATTATAAAGCTGGGACTGTAGCCAATAACCTGACTGCCATAAATGCCAGTAAATTAATACTCAATATTTACACGTTCATTAATGGTCCTCCGTTCCTGAAGGGGGAAAGTGAAACCACATACTTGACTGATAATGGTAATACCAGATGAAAACCTTAAAAAACAATTCACATTTTAGTAAAAGTACACGGCCGCCTTGAATCGTCTATTTCTGCTGTGTTTTCACAGACAGTGGGAGTTATTTTTTTTGTACATAGTCTAAAATCCGACTGTAAATGTTAACAGCCTGTTAAAAGCTTAACAAATACAGAGCCGTGTCTTTATGAGGATCAGCCATCATATTATTACGCAGTCATTCCCCTCACACCGGACATCCTCAGCAAACAAACACACCATGGATGTCTTCTCTAATGCAGCGTGGCTTTGTTTGCGGAGTGGCGCTTTGCAGATAAATCCATTTACCAGATACTTAAGCTGACTAGAGCCGTTTATTGTTGTCACTTCGAATGCATTTGGTCTTATTGGACAATCAGAGTGCTGATGTCACTGAGATCCAACAGAAAACAACAGGAAGAAGAGGCAAAATAATTGTATTATATTAATCATATATGAAAAAATACTAATGTTTAAAATGTTTTAAGATAGTTTGATAAAAAAAAATAAAAAGTTGGTGTAAAAGTATTTCTTATTTCTTATACATTTTAAATTAACCCACAGTTGTGTGCAGAGTTTTAGATTTTCAAAAGGCTATCAGAGGAATTGGAGTTCAGTATAGTTCATACTATGTTTATCATATTTATTTTTGATAAAAGCATTTTAACGCTACGAATCCTTTCACTTTACAAACATGCACTACTTACTGTTTCAGATTCTTCATTTCAGTTCACTAGAGTCACTGTTGCTGAAATGACTGAGAACCATAGATGAGAATCAGCTTGTTACTAACTCGTGCATTGCAGTGTTCAGTGTTTATTCCCAGGGATAAACAGGGAGGCTAGGCTGTCACTTCAGCAGATGTGGTGCAAGGGTCACTGCTGTAATGGTATTCTTGGCTTGGATCTTAATTATGTTTAGGTTTGGGACTTGTTAAGAGGAAAAGCGGTGTTTGTAATGAGCCAGCGGAGCTTCTGTTTACATCCTTATAGCACATCTGCATGGGGAACATTAGCAAGCAGTGTCTCCTCCTCTGCGTAAAGACGCATCAAACTCTCTACTCATATTTCAGTCGAATGATTAGGGAACAAAATTCAATTAATTTTAATGGGTTTTATGAGAGAGGCCAATAAAGTAGTGCTTGGTTTTTAAGTAGAAGAACACAATATACAATATTTATAGTTAATTTCTTTAATCCAAATCACTAAACCAATGATTACCTATGAAAGTTTTACATTCATGTCATTTTTTTAATCCAGCACAACCAACAACCACAAGAAGAAACACTAATCTTTGCTGTGAAGAACTTATTTGCATCTAGAATAACTGTCAGGGATAAACAGATGTAGTCTGCACCTGTTAGGGGGTGGAACCGTTGGACATTTAGGTGGGATTATTTACTCTGTTTAGAGTAATGAGGCCGACGACCGTCTCCAGTGGTGGTGGGATTCAACCTGAACAGTTCCTTAGCTGGATGCAGTAACTTTTGATGTCACCGAGGTACAATTTGAGATCTTAACCTGAGCAAACATGGATGTTTGTGGGGCTGAAGGAGAAAACTAGAGTTCCTTTACATAAAAAAACAACATATTTTTAGTTAAAGATGTTTCCACAAAAAAATTTGCAACAACTTCACTTTCTAGGCTGTTAATGGTTCATATCCAGGGTTCAACTGACCCAGTTGCTGCAGTCATGCATGAGTGCTGAAACCCCCCACCAATGGTGTATAGTTGATTTATAACCACAAGGATCCACAAAACTCAAGAGAACAGAAAGTTCCAGCCCACACACTCAGGAGAAGCACATTATGTACTTGCTGCATCACATTTTCATCAACTTGATGTCTTGATGAGATCAGATTGTGCAAAATGAGCTATTTGTCCGTAAGCTTTTCCATTTTGTTAAAAGTAACTAACCTAAAGGTTAAGTGGGAGTTGTGTGTCCCTTGAAAAGGACCTTTTATACTCCAAGTTTTGAAAATATCACATTTATTATCGGAAGGAGGAATAATTAAGGAATGGCTGCAAGATAAGCAAGCAGCCAAGAGGCTAATTTTATCTAGAGAAGCTGCCGTGGATCCCAGCTCAGGAGGAAGGATCTGTTAAGAGTTTCTCCTTATCAAAAAGCTGCAGTGAGGAAATGGTGGTCCAAGGGCTCCTACTATAACAGCTTCCAATAGCACCATCTAGTGGCTAGAGGAAGGCAGGATGCAGTTTTCCTTAAAAAACAAAACAAAAAAAACAAACAAATTCTAATTGCTAAAACATTAAATTAAATTTACAAGTTTAAATTTACAAGTGGAATATTTTTCTATTAAAACATTTTGTTAATAGAATTTTTTTTTCTTCAGCTGTAGTTAATGTTCCACCTCTTGCATTCAATCTGGGTTAAATTAACATGTTTCTTAAGACTAATTGTTTTTGATCAAAATGAAACATGTTTAGCCAATAGGTTTCCTCCAAATGTAAAGTGAGGAAACCTCTTGAAACTATGTTGCTGTGATTGTTTTCAAAACCATTTATAGACTGAAACACATGAAAGGGAATAGGGAAGGTGTGTAGGAGTAGTTGGATCCGAAAAACAGGAGTTTCAACTTTAACTCATGATAAAGCATATTTATTCAGACAATCAAGCAGTGCAGTTATATATGCTGTTATGGTAAAACCTAAATCAAAGACCCCAGTCTAAAGTTTTCAATAACTCAGTGCAGTATACATGTATATATATATATATATATATATATATATATATATATATATATATATATATATATATATATATATATATATATATATATATATATATATACTCTTACCCTGTATATAGCTAGCTCTTACTTATAGAAAACATATTTATTGTGCAGGAATACGGTTTTAGCTCTGTTACACTGGTAGCCAACTAATCAACATTTCGTTGTCAAGATTCACCTTGTTTTTTTTGTGCAATGACAATAAAGGAAGTCTAAGTCTAAAGCCCTCTGCAGTCTAAAGTAGTCGAGTTGTAAAAACGAAAAAGGAGGATGGTGGATTTTTTTTATTTTTATTTTTTTTTTGGAGGTATGCATATCCTAATTAATACATTCTATTAACCTAAAGCAGTATGCATGGTATGGTTGTTACATGTCAGGTACGCCGGTCATTGACCTTGACCAAGGAACCTTACAGTAGAACTGCAGTCAGTCAGTCAAGATTTGGAACAAAATCTCATAAAACATTGCAAATGAATATCTGAATCCTTTCAAGTCAAGTATTTTTTTTAGTTAAATGCAATTTGTTAAATTGAAACAGCTGAAATAATTTTCAAAATCTGAAAAAAAACTGCTAACAAATTCAAATACATTAGAATTAGCCTGAAAATGAAATAAGCCTGTGTAAAATCTAATAATTTTACTCACCTTTCAAATATTAATTTAGAGTATTTATTTTATAAAATAGACAGTTTATCAGAAAATCACTATTTCTTCTATGGGTTAATTTAAAGTAAGCTAGAATACATGCTGGCAATGAATTATAGCGCCTTTTAGGACAGCCAATGGCAGCCTTTCTTGCTGGGTAGTTGGCAACAATGGAGAAGGGAGGAGAGGAGCAGAGAAGAGAAGCTCTTGAAGAAAAATTCTAAATTTTGACAAAAAAAAAAGTATAATTAAATTGAAATGGGTCTTAGAGTCAAGGGCATACGTTTGATCTCAACTTTAGTAGCCACTATTGGTCTAAAGTTGAATTGGTCTGATGTCATTGGTCCTACTCATTATGCATGCTCCTATTTTTTTTATGCTTGACGTGATCATCAGAGCGCACTTCGTTTAGAGAGAAAGAAGCCTGTTTTGCTACATTTATACACATTTTTATAAGAACTACACAAAATATGCTGTTTATCAATGTTTGAAGCATCAGTGGCTCGGAATGATGTAAAATTAGGACAACTTAACACTTTGAAAAGGGTTACATTTGAATTTACCAGTGACTAAGATGGAAGGTAAATACGTGCCTTTTTAACCAAAAATAGTCTAAATATGTCTGTTTTTTATGTATTTATCCAGTGTTTTCTTTTGGAAAAATATAATTGTGCAGAGATAAACAGAGGTAAAACCCATTCTGCAAATACATAGGAGCGGGAACTATAAGAGGAACTCACACTGAGCATTTAAATTATCAACTTTAATATACAAGTTGTGAGAAAAGAAGCAACTGCTGCAACAACGCTGAATTGTAAATTATAAACATGTTATTCACATAGAGTTATTGGTAGGGACAAGTAGGTCGGGCCAAAATGTTGGTAGGTACATGTCCCTATGGTCCCTATGCAAAACTACACCCATGCTTAGAGTTCAAAAAGTTGTGGTTCTTGCACATCCAGTGCAGCTTAGTTCTTTCTATATTGTGGCATTTTGAAACAATTTTGTCAAGAAGAGCCAGCACCATTGCAGCCATGCAAAATTCTGCAGGCAACTGTTAGGACAGCTCAGTGACAGCACTAGTGGGGATAGTTCGTAATTGTGATATTAAAAAAATACAGTTTTGACTAGCTCAAAGTAACTGAAATATCTTGATTATAATTCCAGATTTGTGACACTTTAACTTGTAGTGGTCAGCGGAAGATTTATCACTCAGGCCAGATCCACCTCCTTTTGGTAACAATGTGAATAAACTGAGATAAATTGTTCTTTGGTTGATAATTAAACAACAAATCAGATGACGTCATTTGAGATATCTCAAGATGCATTTGACTCTCCAAAACGTGATTTAAGATTTCTTGAATTGTTATTTTCTCCCTGGACATAATATAAAATATAAAACATCATTAAGGGCAGTCAAAATTTAGTAAATAATGTTTGTCTATTCTATTAAAATCTCTAAAATGGGTCTGTATTATGAGTTGTCTTCTCAATTCAGAGGGCCCCATGTCTGTCTTTGCCTAGTGGTGAAAATTGGAAGTTCAGTTTAATATAATACAACTCAGTGAATAGTTCCGTATGAAATGAATGAAAATAGTTGTTTTAATGGTTATTGAGTCAGATATGTGGCGGTAATGTTTGATTTATCTAAAGGTTTTATCTATTACTGTGTAAATGAGTTTGGCTGTAATTTAAGGACAGATTCTAATATATCTGCAGGGTGGGGACTATAAAACTGATAGGAGTTTAATTTTTCTATTGCTGTTTTGCACAGTTTGCTTAACTAAGTATATTCTGTTGTTGAATATTAGAGATTTTGCAGATATATTTTTTATACATACATTGTTTAGATTTACTTATATCTTTCTACCCCTTTTATAGAATAGAAAATCCCTTTATTGTCCCAAAATGGGCAAATTTACAACAGAAGAAAGATTATTGAAAATGGTCACACAAATGAGGACCTTAGAAAAATGTATAAGAATAACAGGGAAGAGTTAAAATATAAACAATACAATACTGTAAAGTGTTTTAACAATATAAAACTGGAGAATAAATAAACAATATGCAGCTATGGGTATTTTTACAGTAATGGATATTTGAAAATAGCAGCAAAATGACAGCAGCATGTTATTTAACTGACTAAGGTTTCTATCATTACATTTGCTTTTATCTGTTGATCTGTTTTTCCTCAGAATTCTGATTTTTTTCTCAGAATTCTGACTTTTTTCTCAGAATTCTGACTTTAATCTCAAAATTCTGACTTTTTTTTCCTCAAAATTCTGACTTTTTTCTCAGAATTTTGGATCTTAATGTAGATGGGCACCATGAAGGAAGAGATGTGGGAGCGCACAGCTTCACTGACAAAGATGTGAGTTGTTTGAGGTGGCCAGTGACACATTGGTGGAGAATATAGGAATTAGGCAACTTTTTACGTGCCCAAGGGGTCCCCTCATTAATGGAGGAGCAGAAGGTCAATAAATCAAGAGAGCTAATCTCTAAAACAGACATGGCTGCAGCTTGATGCTAACATGTTTGTAAACTGTCTGAATTCTGAGATTAAAGTCAGAATTCTGAGATTAAAGTCAGAATTCTGACTTTTTTCCTATGTTAAACTGAAATAAAATTTAAAAAATCAGTTAACTTTTTTTTTCCAGTGGCCCTAATCATCTTCCGTATGTGAAACATGCTCGTATCATGTTGGATTTTTTCCTAAAAAGTATAATTACTAGTTTTATTTAATAAAATGCAATATGGAGGGGTACATAGGCGGGCGTCTGCTTCTCCTCCTCTCTGATTGGTTTACCCGAGAATTTCCGATATCTGTACAAAGACCGGATATGACGTAATACTCCGACTTCTCGGAAGCAGATACGCCTCGAAGCCTAATTGAAGCGAGTTTTTTATTACCTGAAAAGCTTTCAACTTGAACCTGGTCTGTGCTGACAAGATGGCTTATCCAGGATACGGCGGGGTGAGTAAATGCGTGTTTCTGTTCTTTTTTAACGAGGCGCTCGCGCTAGCCGTTAGCTAGAAAAACAAACTAGCCTGTAGCTTCCTGTGAAAGTTATGAGCTACAGCTGTGTTTTCAGAAGAAAAGATGGTATCTGGTGTCTGGGTCACTTAGGAAAAGGGGCTTGGGGGCAAATAAAATTCATCTAACTTAAAAAAAAAAAAAAAAGTTTATAGAGTCCTATTAACTTATATCATCTTATATATTTTACTTATAATCTAAGTCAGGCTTCCTCAGATCCAGTCCTTGAGGTCCAATCTTTAGATGTCTACTTCAGCACACCTGAGTCAAATAATCAGGTGATTAGCAGGAGTCTGGAGAGGCTGGTTGCACACTGAGGAAGTAAATTAAATATTTGAATCAGGTGTGAAAGACACCAGAAGTCTGATTTAACCCTTCATAGGGCAAGTTACAGTTTTTGATCACTTGCATACCCCTTACAAATAGAGCCCCTCCCCCTCAGTGAGGTCTAGAAGCAAAAGATCTATATCAGCCATTCAGCAAAGATACTGCTACAAGGCTGTACATCTTATTTTGGCATTGGACCAATTAGAGGAGGCCTTGAATGATATATTACCTACTGGAAATTAAGTTTAAAAAGTTAACAAGACAAGAAAAAAAGTAAAAAATCTAATTGGAAAGTTAATAAACCTAGATAACAATTAAATCTAAGTGCCAGTTTCAGCATTAATGCATCTAAGGTTATGTTGTACCAAAAAAAAATTTTTTGTTTCTTTCACTCTCAGAGTGTTTTTATTAATTTTCTTATTATATTAGGGCAAGTCGGCGTTTCTGGTTGACATTCATTGTTGCCATCAAAATATCCATATTCTTTGAATGTTACAAATGTAATAAGGTCTTTTCCTTGATTCCAAAAACACTATCGGCTGGAAATTTTTATTTTCAAAGTATTTCACTAAGTGCCCTATAAAGGGCTAAGAAGTATTTCGATAAACAGGAGAATTAGGGTTTAACTTTGTTTCTTAATAAGCCAGGTGGGCTTAATTAAAAGTATCAGTTCAAAGCAAATGTCTTTTTTTTTCTACTGTAAATTGTATTTTATTACAGTTTTTTTTAGTATTGAATTAACCTTTTAATTGTTCTTAGCCACTTTGAAATAGCAATAAAACATAATTAATATAATCACTGTGAAGCTTCATTATAGCAAAATGTTATTTACTCTAAAAGACCTGGTAAAAATAATCATACCCTCGATTTAAAACTTAACAAAACAAAGCAGATATTGAAACATGTTGGAGGATTAAAGAAAAACCCTAATAAATTAACCAAAACAATCAAATTACTTGACAATTTTAACCCGAATGTAAAAAGCTATGTGTGTTAATTTATATCTTGTATTTCCTTTCCTATATCTGTTTGTTTTAAACTTGTTTTTTTCTAAGATTCAGATTGTTCTATGCTTTCTTTTATTAAATGTCAAAGGTCTTGCTACAGATCTCTTCATCCGATTGGTTGTTAGCTGGGCTGTAGGTCTATGTCAGATTGGGATCTTCTCCCAGCTTCGGCTTATTACTGAGTCTGGATTCTGCATCAGGTCTCAACATGTCAAGGCAATTTTTTCCCCCATGTTCTCCCACGTTTAAACCCTTACTCCATCCATTTATTCTTAATGTTCCACCCAGGCTCAGACGGGGAATGATTTTCGTCCCTGTCAATGCAGAAATGCATTTAGCTTTTTCATAAAAGTGCAGCGAGATATCACAGCCACAAAGAATGTATGCAGATGACCACAGCTTTATAGAAACGGATGTAAAAGCTCTTTGGTTGTCCTATATTCACCCATAAACTAGAGGCTTATATCTGCTAGTTTAATGAGGAAAAATAATATATTTTCTGTGAAATCTCAGTGTGAATGCTGTATTTTGAATTCTTAAGCTGAAAGCTGGCAGAAACTATCTGAACTTTACCACAGAAAACCTATTAAACTGTAATACATTAACAGTTTGACCTAAACCAGTGTTAGCAGAACGATTAGCAGAGAACAAGGAAGACTATCAGCTAAGTACAGCTTAACAAACTGAGATTGCCTCAACAATTACTGAAATGTAATTATTGAAAGAAAAGTCAGAGAGCTGGTGAAGAATTGTGCATTTAATCAGGAACTAAGTGTTAAAACCGAAAGCCTGAATAGCTTGAGAAGCAGAAGCTTCCTCAGAAAAACTACTAGCTAGACAGACGATGAGAAATAGATGGTGCGGCAGACAGATATGCACAGATTAACGGCAGGAAACGAGAAATGGTTTTAAATACTTTTTTTGAAAGAATGGCTTAGTTTCCATATTTAGACATTTATCTCAAATCAACACTGACTGAGAGATGGTTAGAGAGAAACATACAGACAAAAATAGGCAGAGAAATCAGAAGAAAATGTTGAAGCAAATTAATGAAACAGGGAATGAAATGAAGGCTGAAACAATTAGATTAATTGATTATTGAAATAAATGTCAGCTAATTTAGTAATCAATTAATCGTTAACTGGAGTATAGTCTCTAAAACATGCCTTTAGCTGACAGAGATTCCCACTTAGAGCAGTAGTTGTATCAAAATTGTAAAAAAATATATATAAACATTTTGCATTTAAGATTTAAAAAATTTTTTCAAGAACTTCTCAAGTAGAAGTTTTAGTTACACCTGGTTTAATTTTATAAAAAAATTTCTTTAAGGAACCTTTTTCTCTCTGATTATTAATCGATTAATCAAAAAATAACCGACAGTTTAATCAATTTGCAAAATAATTGCTAGTTACAGACCTAATTGAAAGTAGGGCTGGACGATATAGAAAAAAAGCTTATCGATAAAAATAAAAAATGCATATTGATCGATATCGATAATTATTGAAAAGATTTGAAACCATATTTTATGTGCAGCTCTGCCTGGACTTTTTATGATATTGCTAAATGATTTAATTTTAATAAAGAACACAAACACAGACTTCCAATTAAATCTTTATTTAACCAACTTTTTTAACCATAACAGAATTGTTTTAAGGAAAAATAACTTAAGAGACATGAGTTACGTTATTAAATACTGACAAAGAATAAACTAAAGTGACCAAAATAAATATAACAAATAAAAATTCCCGAAAATTCCTCTGAGGATGATGCAGAGCCGTCCTCGGACTCATACAGAGCCTACACAGCTCGTACTCCTGCAGGTGTGAGCGGCTGAGATGATAAAACAAGTTGGTTGTGTTACCAGACTTCTTTTTCACTAATTCCCTACAAATTTTACAGATGACTGTGGTTTGTTTTTTGTCCGACTTGCCATAACCGAAAAAAAACCCTTCATTGGAACAATTTCCTTCGCCTCTCCTTGCTGCGACATCTTCACGCGCTCTGTGCTGTGGTTTGAGAGGGCGGCTATTTTTTCCTATTGTGCCACACGTCTATCGATCGATATATATCGTTATTGAATTATCGCCCAGCCCTAATTGAAACTATAATCTGATGCAGGGGGAGAAACCTCTACATAAGCGAGCAGGATCCTGTCAGTGCTTATGTTTCAGTTTGTCTGCGGAAGTTTATATTTTCAACTTCCAGGGTGTAAATTTCAACTGAAACATGTTGGAAAGTCAGAGCTGCGAGTTGGAAGGTTGGACGGTGCCTTAGATGAAATAAATAAATGATGTTCAAAGGTTTAAAATCTCTGTTTGATTCCTCCTCAGTACGGTGGCCCCATGCCAGGGATGCCAGCCCAAGGAATGCCCGGAGGACCCATGGGGGGGCCCATGGGAGGCCCTATGGGAGGCCCCATGCCTGGGCAGATGGGTGGACCCATGGGAGGCCAGGCGCCCCCTGGAGGATATGGGGGGTATGGAGGAGGCTTCCAGGGTGGATTCGGCGCCCCAGCTGCCAATGATCCAATGTGGGGTTACTTCACCGCTATAGCTGGACAGGTAAGCGTAGGTGGGCTGCAAGTCGTATCCATGTGAAATTCTTTAGGTTTCAGTTTTTTTCTTGGGCTTAGCTGACTTTATTGTTGCAAGCCCAGACAAGTCTTTACACAGGATGTCAGAGCTCAGAGATAACTGGTGAAAAAAAAATCCAACCATTTTCTTCTTTTCAGTTTGATTTTATTCAGAGAAATCTGACAGGAAAATGGGTGAAATGTTTAAAAGTTGGAATTTAAATCCCTGACAGCTGCATGGCAGACTAATATAGAGCATATGTACATGGGGCCCTCGCTCTGTCTAAACTCTGAAACATAAATCCAGCATGGTGTCAGTAGTGACTGCTGGTAGCGGACGCCGATGACACAAATGTCTGTCCCTGATCTGTGCAGGATGGAGAAGTGGACGCAGAGGAGCTCCAGAGGTGTCTGACTCAGGCTGGATTCACAGGCAGCTACAACCGTAAGTTGACCTGCTTTTCTTGTGACGTGGAAGAACTCGAACGCTGAAACCAAATGAACTAGAAAAATACACATTTAAATAGAATAAACATTTCCTGTTCTAGCTTTTCTAATTGGTAGATGACAGACCAATGAGTTTTATTTATGTTTTTACACAATAAGATTACTGTAACTTTTCTTTTTAAATGCATGAGCCTAAAATATGACGACGATAATCCTATGACGTCTGATCGAGTCATGCATAACATTTAAGTGGAATGAAGACTCACCTGTTGTTGCATCTAAAGAAGCCGTTCCTTCAAAAACAAAACAAATCGTTTTTCAACTTCTCAAGATTTTAACTTTAGCTGCCCATCCCTGTCGTCTGATGGAACTAAAGCGGAGGAGTTTGACTATAAATGGGGAAGCTTGCAAAGCTTTCTAGTTGTGAAGTACAGGGGTGGCTGCATGATGTTGTGCAGGTTAGGAACTAGTGCATTTCACAAAAATGGGAAGTGAAATAAAGCAAGAGCTCAGCAGATCAGCCTGGATGTTTAGACACAGATGAGTTTCTTTATATTCAAATATCCTACACCTCATATCAGGTTACTTAGAAAGTCAAAGTTTAGCCTTCAGAAGTGCTCATTCCAGGGGAAAATGGTGGCCATAGATTGGTCCAGTATTCCAAACATTACCAGATGCTTATAGGAGGAATACCAAAACGTTTGTCAGAAGTTAGAATATTAAAGAAATGTATGGAAGGTTTGGGAATTTTAAAATGGTAATAACACCATTTCTTATTATTCTGGACTGTAGCAGAATTTTTATTTTTAACCGACTTCAAGAAAATGAGGTTGGTCAGGCTCTGTCAGTTTTGAGGGGGAAAAAAGGTTTTTTTTCGTACACTCTATGTAAATATGTGGTTTGAGCTTTAGACTGCAGTTAAATCTTGTGGTTTAGTGGCATTAGATATTCTCAGTTCCTCCTCTGCATGAAAGAACAATGAATTTGAGTCTCTAACAATCCAGGAACACGTTTGACCTGTTCTTATTAGGTATGTTTACCATTCAGAAGCCAAACATGTGATAAGCTAATCTTATTGAAGGTATAAAACCATTAAAACAAACAGTAGACAGTATAATAAAGATAATATCAAATCATGATTGGCTACAGACACAGGTTTATTACTAACCTGAATCTGCACCTTTAGTGATTAAAACAGTTAAATGATTCAGACGCATCTTCTGGTCATCTTGGTTTCCTGTCCCATTAGATTGTTTTTAACTGACTCTACCAATCAATGAAACATGGTAGAGGCAGCATTATGCCCAGGGGTGGATGGAGCTGAATAAAGGAGAGTTATTTAATAAAGTTTTAGAGTGGGTCAGATGTTCACCTTCCAGCTGGAAAACAACCTTAAACATCCAGACAGCATTTTCATCCCTTCTGTTAGAGTCGCCTAGTCAAAGTCTGGAACTTTATCCAATTACAAAACTGCAGCAAGACACAGAGATGTTGATTTTCACCTGATCGGATTGAGCTTGAGCTGTTCTTTTTATTTATTATTCTGAATATACGCCTTAAATTACCTGGATGTTAATTGTGGTCATAATAATCTGATTTATGGAGCTAAATTGGGGCCAACAAAGAACTAACTGACCTAATTAAGGTTTTTTTTTCTTTTTTTTAAAGAAAATATTTTTAAACTTTAAGTTAAAACTACTTATTTCTTTTTCCTCTCGTGGCTTTAATCGTATGACCTTATTTTGTGTGGTAGGCGGGGCCTTAGATGACAGGTGTGGAAACATGACTAACAGCTAAACATAGCGACAGAATAACATGTTCCCAGCTGATGCGTTCAAGGACAGTGGGGACCGGAAATATTTTTAAAACCTCAATCTTCTACCTGTATGTGACTAGTTTTAAAAAATAACATGTTTCAACAAATAAAAGCAAATTCCATGAATACATTACCTGAAGATTTGCAGCTGTTATTTTACCAGAAGATTATAAAAAAAAAAAAAAATAGAACTAGAAGAAGAATTAAGGATAAAACCAAATAATGATTACTAGCTAAATTATTATTAATGTAAATTGTTTATTCACCAGGATTCTATGACTTTTACATAAATGTTGGACTCCTAGTTTGGCTGTTTAAAATCCAGTTTCCTTTCGCTAATTTAGTAATTTAGACCATAAGCAGAATTATTAATCACCGATCAAAACATTGACTCTTTTCATTCAAATGCAAACAAAGGAGGGTGGTTCTGGCTCTGAGTGATAGATCGTTCATTGCATAAAATAACAACAAAAGACCAATGGTACCTTTATTAGCCATTGATCAAACAGTATTATTGTATCTAATAACTAAGCAAACATTACACCATACTGAGAATAAGCTCTAGTAATAAATGAAACAAAAAGAGTATGTTCAAAAGCCTCTGACTTTTAAGGCCTAATGCATTCAAGATTGCCTTAAAATAGCAGCAGATAAATGTGAGTAACTCTGTAGCTTTTTCAATTCAAAATGTCAGAATCGGCGTTGAGTTTAAAGCTTTATATACTAGCACTTAAACTTATTTTGGCTTAGAAATGCAACATGCAAATTGAATCTTATGAATGGGAAGTCGTTTTTTGGGTCCTTTGTTATTTTGGCTTCTTTGACTCTCCATTCCTAAGGCGCCGACCTGTTCTTCTGGTTTAATTTGCATGTTTTCCAGCCACTTATGTTGAAATACGCACTCTCCCCATTCTCTAGCTTTTTCTCCGCTTCAGACTTCTTTTCTGAACATACGGCTTTACGATCAACCGGAAAAAATATCGCGATATAATATATCTGACAAAAAAGTACATTTATAAAAACAATTTCTTTTTTTAATAAAGCATTTTAAATGCCACGATAATCACATTTAATTAATTTTAATGCAAATTAATGCCTTAATTTAGAAAATAACGTAATGACCTGTGGAAACCCTGTATATGGACCCAGTTTATCTCCACTGGGTTTGAATTGACTCAGCAGGGTGGGATGAATGGAGCTTTAGGAGTTACAATGATTCATCCAAAGTCCAGACCGCGGCCTTTGATAAGATATTTGCTTCAAGTTGTGAGCTCATTATGAGGTGACCATGGCGTTTTCAGAAAGTCCTTCAGTTTAGTTCTGTTAATATGTGACTATAGGTGTTAGGATCACTTCTCTTAAGCCTCCAGACTCTTACTGTTGAAGTTGATGTTAGAAAGATATTCGGTTACTCTCTGATGAACTAGCTAAATTAATCTTAAGTGTAGCATGTCTTTGTTTTCAGCTGTAGGTGTAGATGGCTCTATGGTGCAGCATCAGTAAATGTCTGCCACCTGTGTGTAATTTAAGCTCAGTATAAATCTAAAGTGGTTGAAGTGGCAGCAGGTTGTGGTTGGTTTTTGAGAAAAATATTTTAGACTACTTTTTTTTTATTTTCTTTTTGAGCATCAGTGATACATTACGTTGTATCAAATACAAGTGACACATTAATATTTTAAACCCCGATCCAAAGAACATGTTGGACAACAATCCAGTAAGAGAAAATAATTTAAGGTAATGCAAAAACAAATAACAATAAAAAAGAAATACTGTGGAGCTGTGCACTAAACAAGAAATGGTTCACATGGATTCAATCATGATGACCAATGCAAATGACTGCTTGGGCACAGTTTTAAGGGGGTCATCGAATGATTCTATAGGGTATTTGGTGCTGGTCCTTAAGGTCTCTGAATATGCTGTGTAACATTGGTTGGGCTGAAAATGGCATATTTGCTGTTATGAGCCCTAATGCAAGCCTGGTTAAAAGCACCAGAATGAAACGACAGGTTTTCTTCCTTTTATGGTATGATCATTAATATTTAGATGAGCTGTGTGCTGATTGGTTGGTTTACAACGAGCGAAGCTGCTGAGCAAAGACTCATCATAGCAACAAGCACTCACTCACTGAAACATCAAATTGTTGATATGGTAGGGTGACCAGATGTCTTCTTTTTTACTTACATGTCCTACTTCCCCAAATCCAAATGGATTCGCCCATTTTATGGTGGAAGTTTAGAATTGTGAGATTTGCAGAGAAAGGAGGCGTCGATGGGGTTTGAACTTCTCTGTACGTCCATTTCACTCATTGAACTATCGTTACTCCTCTATGACAATGGAAACTTGGTTTTGCTTTCTGTGAGCCCTTTAAGTTTACCTAATTGCGTCAGCATTTGTCCCTGGACCCCCTGATAGTATATTTTATTTTCTCTAATTGTATGAATTGTCAGGTCGCTAAACCACAGAGATAATGTGGGTGGATTATTTAGTTTCCAATGCAATAATATCTTCTAAGTGCATACAGCGTTGTGAACGCAATTATGTTTTTATAGCTTTTCCTTAGTGTTGCATGTCTTCTGTTTTATCAGATACGGCAGTACGTTGGGTTGAAGATTAGTATTTAATGCTTCTGACAAGGTTTTAAAGATGGTTGACCAACAGGTTGCCAGGGCTGAACATGACCGAAACATCTGCGCTCAATCAGCAGGAGTGTTTTGCCACCTGTTGCAGCTTGCATCTGTGTTAGGATATATTTGAGCCAGTATTGCTTTGGAGTAATGGATGCGATGTAGGGTTTTGAAGTGTATAATGCTTAGCTTGGCACAGGAAGTTCTGTTGTTTACTCTTAATATAGCGCTCTCCCAAGTGTCCTCTTCCAAGTCCTCCCCAACTCATCCACCCAGTGTGCTCTAATTCTAATTCTGGAAACCAGTCTTTTAGAATTGAACGTAGATTTTATTAGATCCTTTAGATGAGAAGGTGATGTTATGAATGGAAAATTGGGATCATGATGTTGAAGGAGCTGGCGGACTTGGAATTATCAAAATAAGCTAGATAGAGGGAGGCCAAATTTGTGAGACAGTTTATGCACATGTCTCGTCTTTGCCAGAGAAAAAATTCAGAGTCTACCTAGATGTTGGTGTATTTTCAGAGAGAGGGGGGGTAGCTGGAAGTGAGCAGGGCTCTGAGAGAAGTGGAGATGCAAGATTCACCTTCAAAGTGGAACCAGTCTGCATCGGGAGTGTGGATTGTCACCGTGCTCATAGACAGACCCCCGTGATTTTAATAGGAGACATTCTGTTTTTTCAGTTAAGAGCAAATTATATTGTTTGGAGGTCCAGCTTCCTCTTCTAGAGCTCAAGGGAAGGAGAAACAGTATTGAGCATCCATCATAGATATTGCTTTAATAAGCTCCTCTTGCTTAGCTCTTTTCATCATGTTTATATTAGCTGAGTACGATATGCAGCTTTTAGTGTTTTCCACAGAAGAGAAGGAGAAATGTCATCCTTTTTGTAGGAATTTATAAAGGCATCCATTTTTTTTGGGATATCATTTCACAAAAGCTCTCATCAGCCAAAGTTTCCATGGGATGAAGGTAACTGGTAGAGAGTTAATGCAAGTTAGAGTAATACAGGGGCATATGAGTGATATATACATTAGACAAGAAAGAGAAGAAAAACTGATTATAGTTTGGCTTATATTAGCGTATTTTGAACTTTATTAGAGGACTGTACAGTAAACTTAATCCTCCTTTTTTTTGTATCTTTGCAGCATTTAGCTTGGAGACCTGCAGGATCATGATTGCCATGCTAGACGTATCCTTTCCCAGGACGCCTCTCTGGGGTGAATGAGTTTTAAACCTCCTCTGTTGCAGTTTAGTAAACCTTAGCCAGACTCTCTCCAGCGGGACTTCACAGGGAAGATGGGTTTCAACGAGTTCAAGGAGCTGTTCACGGCTCTCAACGGCTGGAAGCAGAACTTTATGATGTTTGACCAGGACCGCAGCGGAACAGTAGAACCTCATGAGATGTCCCAGGCCATCAATGCTATGGGTGAGGGAAAGAACTGTTCATGATAATGGATCCCTGCTAAAGGACGGCTCCTGATCAAAGTCATTTATTAGTTAATGAGAGATCTGCTGACTGTGACTGGATTAAAGCCAAATTTTGTTGATTCTTCTGCATCAGGTTACCGCATCAGTCCTCAGGCTCTGAACGTCATCATAAAACGCTACAACAAAGGAGGCAGAATCTACTTTGACGACTACGTGGCGTGCTGCGTTAAACTGCGAGCGCTAACAGGTATGAACGCAGCATCTGATTGAGCCTTTAATAACTGAAATTATGACGGTTGAATTCCTGTCTTCACCGCTTCCTTTTCCCATTTCAGACAATTTCAGGCGGAGGGATACCATGCAGCAGGGCGCTGTCTCCTTCCGATACGATGATGTAAGTAGACTCCTTTTGTCTTCCTCCTTTTTCCAAAACATTCATCCCGCCCCTATTTCCCCATGTTCTCATCTCAATGCCCAATATTTCTTATATAACGACACAAAACATAATTAAGGTGAAGGAGAATGAGGCATGGCTTTTAAAATATTTGGAAAATATAAATCTAAGCCCCTTATTAAAAGCTAACATGAATTCTCATACATCGGATTAGTTTTAAACGTTCTCTCTAGATCAGCTCGTCTCTGTAAAGTTGAATTTTTCTTTTGTATTCAAGCTCGAGCTCCATGTTTGTTTACAGGTGCTGGTCATAAAATTAGAATATCATGAAAAAGTAGATTGATTTCAGTAATTCCATTTAAAAAGTGAAACTTGTATATTATATTCATACATTACATACAAACTCATATATTTCAGATGTTTATTTTGTTTAATTTTGATGATTACAAATGACAACAAATGAAAATCTCAAATTCATCATATCAGAAAATTAGAATATTACTGAAGACCAATAAAAACAAAGGATTTATAGAAATGTTGGCCAACTGAAAAGTATGAACATGAAAAGTATGAGCATGTACAGCACTCAGTATTTAGTTGGGCCTCCTTTGGCCTGTATTACTGCAGCAATGCGGCGTGGCATGGAGTCGATCAGTCTGTGGCACTGCTCAGGTGTTATGATAGCCCAGGTTGCTCTAATAGTGGCTTTTAGCTCTTCTGAATTGTTGGGTCTGGTGTATTGCATCTTCTTCTTCACAATACCCCATAGATTTTCTATGGGGTTAAGGTCAGGAGAGTTTGCTGGCCAATTAAGAACAGGGATACCATGGTCCTTCAACCAGGTACTGGTAGCTTTGGCACTGTGTGCAGGTGCCAAGTCCTGTTGGAAAATGAAATCTGCATCTCCAAAAAGTTGGTCAGCTGCAGGAAGCATGAAGTGCTCTAAAACTTCCTGGTATGTGGCTGCGTTGACCCTGGACCTCAGAAAACACAATGGACCAACACCAGCAGATGACATGGCACCCCAAACCATCACTGACTGTGGAAACTTTACACTGGACTTCAAGCAACGTGGATGAAGTGCCTCTCTTCTTTTCCTCCAGACTCTGGGACCTTGATTTCCAAAGGAAATGCAAAATTTACTTTCATCAGAGAACATGACTTTGGACCACTCACCAGCAGTCCAGTCCTGTTTCTCTTTAGCCCAGGCAAGACGCTTCTGACGCTGTCTGTGGTTCAAGAGTGGCTTGACACAAGGAATGCGACAGCAGAAACCCATGTCTTTCATACGTCTGTGTGTGGTGGTTCTTGAAGCACTCACTCCAGCTGCAGTCCACTCTTTGTGAATCTCCCCCACATTTTTGAATGGGTTTTGTTTCACAATCCTCTCCAGGGTGCGGTTATCTCTCTTGCTTGTACACTTTTTTCAACCACATCTTTTCCTTCCCTTCGCCTCTCTATTAATGTGCTTGGACACTGAGCTCTGTGAACAGCCAGCCTCTTTAGCGATGACCTTTTGTGTCTTGCCCTCCTTGTGCAAGGTGTCGATGGTCGTCTTTTGGACAACTGTCAAGTCAGCAGTCTTCCCCATGATTGTGTAGCCTATAGAACTAGACTGAAAGACCATTTAAAGGCTTTTGCAGGTGGTTTGAGTTAATTAGCTGATTAGAGTGTGGCACCAGGGGCCATCAATTTTGAACCTTTTCACAATATTCTAATTTTCTGATATGATGGATTTGAGATTTTCATTTGTTGTCATTTGTAATCATCAAAATTAAACAAAATAAACATCTGAAATATATGAGTTTGTATGTAATGTATGAATATAATATACAAGTTTCACTTTTTAAATGGAATTACTGAAATCAATCTACTTTTTCATGATATTCTAATTTTATGACCAGCACCTGTATACCAGTATGTTGGGGTGTCTCGCTGGTCCATAAAAGTGCCGTAGATATTTATAATTGACACGGCGGTAGGTGAAGTGGAAATGCCGTAAAAAGAAGAGAAACTGTTGACATCACATTTCCAAAATGGCAGCGAACAATAGTGTCAATGATCATGAATAGGTGGTGTGCTTGTGGCAGAATGTGCAAAATATCTTTTAGATAAAAAGTTTTGATTAAAAAAAGAACAAAAAACTTTGCTTTATGACTCACTGCTTTAAATACTTGATTTTACTTTGCATGTAATGGAAGGAAAAATCAAAATCCAGTGGCTGTTTGCGACAACAGAACAACGTTTCTTTAGTCCTTCCGCTTTCAAAGAGGTCTATGACTCTTTGTTTTAACTTTGTGTTCTGCCACCCGCTGCAGCTGGTGTTCTGTCAGATCAGCATACCCATAGTCGATACGCATACGCATATGCTAGTCTGACACTACAAACGTCAGATCAGCATACCCCGTTTATCCCTTTAGTTTTGTATGAAAAACAATTTAATTACTTACTTTTTGAAGCGTATGGTGATCAGACCTGAAATTGCTTTTTTTTTTCGTACATGACTAAAGGGTTACATGTAGCCTAATAAACTAAACTAAATGTGATATTAAATGTGTGATTTAGTCTGGCCCGGATGAATGAGACATCAGAAGATTGTTGATAAGAACAACTCGTTGTTTTTCAACCATGTCTGTGCCTCTTGACCAATACTCTGACCAATGAGCGGAACTGACTGTGATGTAGTAAGCACGACAGAAAGTAAACAAGCAGCCTGACGGTAAAACAGCGAATACGTCCTTTTTAAAAAAAATGAATGAGCGTAGAGCCTCTTCCTGCTCACGTTTAAACGAAAACCCCAAGTCTAATCCTTCCAAAACTGATTCCAAAGCTGAGTCAAACGAGAACTGTTCAATAGTGGTTGCCATCTTCCTTGTTTTGCTTTATCCATGCCCTCAAAACCCCGCCCACTTTGCATCCAGAAACTCAAAACACATCTCTGCGTTGTGATTGGCCCGCCAGTTCCAGGGCCTGGGGCATTGATCGAGGGTAGACCACTCGCAGGCAAACATGATTTTGGCCGCTGGCGGGTGGGACTAGTTTACTGGGCTAGGATACACGGCCATTTGAGTGTATTTTTTTGTACAAAACTAAAGGGATAAATGGGTATGCTGATCTGACTGTTTGTATCAGACTAGCAAACGCATATGCATTCTGACGTCTTGTGTATTGATTATGGGTATGTTGGTCTGCTGATCTGAGGGGCGATTCCTCTGAGCATATTAGCAATGGTATCTAGGGAGAAGGACTGGGAGATTAATCAATTCAATTCTCTTGTTAATGAAAATGTTTGGAAAACCTGGACTCCCCCCCCCCCCCCCCCCCCCCCCCCAATCTGCGACTCAGGCTTTTGTAGCTCAGAGGAACATCAGTGAATCGATCTTTGCTTGTTCAGGTGTTTTATAAAATATGTGAATCAGGAAATCGTCTATATACCCAAATGAACGATTGTTGTTTTCTACTTAAACAACTTTTTAAATATTTTTTTATTTAAAAAGTCAGTGAATAACGGATGCATAAACACCTAATTTCAGTGTTAAAGTAACAGATTATAATTTAAAAATGTCAGATTTTCTTTATTCGGACCCCGCTGATTTTTAATTGGTTACCCCTGATTCAGAGTATAGAGTGAAGTCAACATGTTTCTGTCAAGCCATGCTCCATTTTCCTTCTACTTTATATTTATATGTAGAATATAATTAAAATAAAAGGCATATATTTTCAAATTTGCTGTAGCTCTAAATTATCTATAAAAAAACCCATCTACTTTGTTTGTAGTCATTCCCAGCTGTTTATATCCAAAGGACTTTTTATTTACAAGTACTTTCCAGAATCTTCATGTTTAAACCTGCCGTTATCTTATGGCGCTGCACTTAGACTTTGCGCTCTCGTTAAAGACCAGATTTATTTTTTTCCCTGTCAGATTGCTGATTCACCAGAAAACTAACACTTTCTTGTTCCCTCTCTCTCTTTAGTTCATCGTTTGCACGATGTCGGTCTAAGCAGCGCCCCCTGCCCCACACCAAGAGGTCAGAGCGTTCAGGTCAGTGCCTCACAGGAATGCTACCGGAGGCCAGTATACGAGACGGCAGGAAACGACTCCATGTTTGTAACGCTTCAGTGTGTTCCGTACTTCTAAAGCAAATGCAGCATTATTCACAGCTTAACCTTTAAATTAGAACCTAAATATCTGTATTTAATAATCTACCTGTAGTTTTCTTATTGTGGGATATATATATATATATATATACAATGAATTTATACATAAATAATCGTATACCTGTTGTGCCATTATCTTAATATGCTCGTATTCAGATTTTTCTTTTTATATAAAGTTTACATGTACAATAATGCTTGTAGAGGAAACCCTGAACTAGTGATTTAAATTAGATTTTTAACAAATTAATGTTAGATTTACCTGTCGGTGCCTAAAATACTGTGCTCCCAAAACAGCCAAGCACTCACAGCTCTGTAAGAAACTCCTCATTTTTTGTTACAATAAAAAAAAAAGACACATTTTACTCTGTATTCATTTTCTTTATTCATTTATACAATTGTGCATTTTTCCAGTCTATTTACACAATATATATATATATGTAATTTCTTTAAATATAGTCAACAGAAACATTCAAATCAGCTGTTTAGTGTCGCGTTGTATAAAATACAGTGGCAAACGTTTAAAAAAATGCATAAAAACAATTGAACAGCACTAGATTTAAAAAGTGACGTTTAGATCCAGTACAGCAAAGGTTGCTTATCTCTGTGCAAAACTTTGCAAATCGCACAAAAAGTTCAGCAGAGTCCGACTTCAGGAACGTTTGTTCTGCATCTCAAGAAAGAAGAATCCTCACATTATTTTGCGTCTTTAATTTAGAGTTTTCTTCTAGGGGAGGGTCTGCATGCACAAACTATCAAACCGTGTACAGGAAATGCAACATGCATTTCTGCTTACCCCACATCCAGCTTGCTACAATAAGAGGCAGTGCATCCAGCATCATCATCAGGCTTAGAAACCATAGAAAACTGACAACCGATGAAATCTCTAGGTTTTAGAAAAATAGGTCTATGGTCCTTCCATGTGCCGTTTCCATGCAAATAATGAGCCGTTATTTGACTAAATTTGTTCACAGAACTAAAAAAAAAAAAAAAAAAAAACCCCACTAACTTCCTCATGCAGTTTGATGTAAAATGACCGAGTAGACCTACATGTGACAGCAGAGGACCTTTTAGTTGCATTGCACTGATGCTATTTATAAAGGCTAGAGCAGGTGAGTAAAGCTAAGGCTGTTGGAGGCCAAACTTTTTTTTTCTGATTATGCTTTCTTTTAGGAAGTTGTAGTTTTTCAGGATATAATGGAAGACCTAAAGCATGCACCAAATCCACCGTCTCCAGCAGTTCCTGCTCGCTGTGAAGATAAATGGGTTGCTTCTGGCTGTAGAGTTTTGCAGGTAAATGTTAAAAGGGATTCATGACTAGTTTTAACGATAGACTTTCAGATGTAAATGCAGTTAAAATACTCTAAGCCAGTGTTTTTTCAACCCTGGTCCTCAAGGCTCACTGCTCTGCATGTTTTGGATGTTTCTGAGCTTCAGCACACCTGATTCAGATGATTGCAGTTCAGCAAAGCCTGATAATCTGCTATCAATTGATAACAGGTGTGTGAAAGCTCAGAAACATCTTGAGGACCAGGGTTGAAAAACACTGCTCTAAGCTGTGTAGTTATAAGATATTGGCCGTTTCTCAATTTATAAGAACGTGAGTACGGACTCCTGTCCTCGCCAAGTACGTTTTTGATAAGAACACAGGAAAGTATGGACTCTGGGAGAACGGGAACTCAGAGCATAAATCTGGGTCAATAGGAGGTGAGAACAACATCCGGAGGCTGAGTTTGATGACGTTGCACATGTCCACATATTGATAAACGGCCATTGTTCACACAGATGTTCACACAGAGTATAGAGTGAAGTCAACATGTTTCTGTCAAGCCATGCTCCATTTTCCTTCTACTTTATATTTATATGTAGAATATAATTAAAATAAAAGGCATATATTTTCAAATTTGCTGTAGCTCTAAATTATCTATAAAAAAACCCATCTACCCATCAGATGTTGCTGCAATGCATTCTGGGTTAAAGATGTATGCTAGCTCCATATAACTAAATAAACCTTTTGAGTCTGAAGCGCTTGTCACTACCTGATCCGTCCCAGAGGCACGATCGGTTCTGCGCATGCACATCCAGATATACTTCCGGATTGTCCTCAATTTTATTTAGTTAAAAATACCTTAGTGATGTTTTCCCTCCCGAAAAACAGTAAACGTACTAAAATATAATGTATTAAATATATTTCTTGAGAAAATAAATGCCTTAAATTCCTGTTTTATCACTCGTCTCTGCCCGATCTGCACCAGAAATGGGATCCTACGCCACTTCTGGGAGCTTTGGAGTTTTATCCTTATGCTATATAGTGCGTAATCTAAAGAAAGAAACCACTAAAATGCAGATAAACATTGTTTAATTGTATTTTGCCCGACTGCTCTGAGCATATCCCATGGTGACGTCAGAGAAGCAGTTTAACGGAGAAACTGTAAAAAGCATAACACATTTTTTACAGATGTGTATTACTATTTTTTTAGTAAGTTATGGATAGAAATAAGTCGTTTTAGTACCATAATTACATTATTTATGGAAACCCAGTATATCTCTTAGCGCATGTGCAGGACGGATCGGGTGGTGCAGCTGCTGCTAACCCAGATGGAGAGCTATGCTACCTAACAGGTTGTTTACAGTTAGAATCAGGATCAAAACCGTTTCTAAAATATGTGTTATGACTTACTGTGTGTCACTTTAAGCAGTTGATTTGATTACGCATTAGCGCTAGCTAGTACTGTAAAAAAGATCCCAAGCCGATCACATTTGTTTCAACAAATAAGTATTGACTAAATTTACAGCAGTTAAATGCTGTAGGATAAAAAACGGCTCTAATAATGTTAGCCTTCCTGTGTTTACAATACAGTTAAGAACTAACCGCATCATTAACCCATCATGCATTGCATAGGTGAAAAATGGCGACCTCTGTGGATGTAGAATACTACAAACGAGCTCTTACAAAATGTTAAACTAGTCGTGGATCCCTTTACGGACATGTACACCAGGGCAGCTCGGATGCTTTTCTGTTTCTTTGACAAAAAGTAAAAGGCAAACAAAGGGAGAGGGTAGATGCAAGACATGACTACGTTGCTAAGGCTAAACCACAACAGTGCAGCTTTAAATGATCACTTCAGGCAGTTTCCTGAGGCAAATTAATAGAACAAACCTTTATCTTTTCAAAGCAAATTATTCTATGCTGTTAGGAGTGCCTTGTTAATTTTATTGAAAATATATTTACCACTTATTTTTTCCCCTCATATCTGCTGTTCAGAAACACCGAGACCCAGAGGGTTACCTTCACTGGTCCGTCGTTATTGCTCTCAAAATGCCCACAAGAGCGGTCAGTGTGCTGAGCGAGGCCTCCTTCCAGTTGAGGGTTTGGAAGAAGTGGTTTAGTTTAACCTCTTGTGGACAGTAGGCACGCTAAACATCCAGACAGATCTTCTCCAGAGAAAGGTCAGAACCTAAAAGCCATGGAGTAAATCTACAGCAGTTAAACTCATATTTTCTCTGAGGTTACTTCCTGGATCTGGGCTGATAAGTTCTAGAAGATGCCTTCAAATACAGCCTAACTTTCCTGAAAGTAGCCTCCAGGTTCAGAGAAAGCTGTATTATTTCACGCTGCCAAATAGAGTAATGCCTCAGTGATTGTTTCAAGTAGCTTTGTCCCCTATGTAGAGGCAGAAGATGCAGGAAATGAGAGCAACATGCCAATAACACCCGAACGCCTCGTGAGCTGCAGCACGTGAGGAACATGCAACAGAACAGAAAACATGAGTATGGAAATCATGCATATCTAGAAATAGCACATTAGGTGCTTTGTGTTGCTGGCAGTGGTATATTTGAACTATGTACAGGATATAGATGACTTTACAGATGTTAATAATATATAGTGTATAAATACCTTGGTATAAATAGATATGTACATCTAGATCAGTGGGGGAGGGGAGGGTTCAGATGTTCTCAAAAGGAATGGAAGAAAATCTACAGTTTTTAATCCTTTGCATATTCAGTCTCTTTCTTAGACCCTGAGTCAAGCTTAAGAGAAGACCTTTAGTCTTTAAGGGTTGGAGAGGGGGGGTTACTGTCCTGGAAGACCCGGGTCAGAGCCAGGCCTGTGGAGTCCCAACATCCCCGAGCTGTTGGGGACGTCGGGCAGAGAAGCTTGTCGCCCTGATGGGAACCGCGGCGACCATTGGTGAGGCAGCTCTATCGCGTGTCTCTGATCGGCGTTGGAGTCGCTCTCCAGCAGCCCCGCAAAGTTCCCATCTGGAAGAGTCTGTGTGCAGACGAGGACTGGAGAGGTTTCTTTGGATTTCGGAGAAGAGCTCTCCGAGTCGGGGCCCTGTGGAGCATCAAAAAGGTTATCCTCTGATTGCAGATTCACATTTGTGACAGAATAAGAGAAAACAAAGAAGGGTGAGAAATTTTTATGCAGATGACAGAATTTAGATGTTCAGCAAGTGTGAAAACATATTTTAATACATTTTTTTGTCAGAACATTACTCCTATTTAAACTTATTCAAGTGTTATTGATACCCACAGCTACTAAGTTTTGCTACAAATTTAAGGGGTATGTTTAAGTAAGGTCCACTCCTTCATACCCCTTTTAAGACTAAATTATGTTTACATGCGTCTGTGAAGACTCATCCAGGTCATAGTCATTCCAAAAAACTGTACTTTGAAGATGTTTCGCTTCCCATCCAGGAAGCTTTCTCAACTCAAAATGTCTGGAGTAGCTTTCAGTTCCAGGGTTTAGAGAGTGGACCAAAACAAAGCCTAGTTTTAGCTTAGAAAGCATTCAGCTTTAACTATCACCCCTTAGTAATGGGGAGTCGTTGTTGCCTTGGCTAAACTGGTTTTGAAAACTGAAACCCGAGTCCACCCCCTCTGTTTAAGGTTGGTTTTTCTCTCCAACATCCTTCAACACCCCTTTCAAACCACCTGTCTTCTTTGTCCAAAACGTTTACATTTTGGTCCTCAAAGTGTCGTTAGACAGCAGGGTCTTGTCTGGAAGAGGTCGCTCTCCTTTGAGCCATGCATCTGTGGAGAGGTTGTTTGGTTTCTCCGATATAAAGATCAGAGCATTAATTGAACTACTTTCACCACTCCGCTCATATTTTTGTCTAGTGGTTTTGTCTTTCGGATGCACTAGTCTCTAAGGGTCTTGTTTGGATAAACTCCTCTTGAATTTTGCGTTTAGTCATCTCATCGTTATGTTCTGCTGCGTGTCTTTCGGTTTTCCCTGCTGGTTTTACGAACGCCCAGTTGGATACCCACAGGTTTGGAGAGCATCTGTGATGTGTTTCTGTTCTTTGTGCTTCCACTTCTTTTAACTGGATTTTGACG